AGAAAACGCCTTCGTAGTGCAGCCCATCCAGGACTCGAAGAAGCCGTTTACAAATGGGTGACAGAAGTAAGAACGCACAACCTTCCGATGACTGGAGACATGATTCGCGCAAAGGCTCAACAGTTCAGCGAACGTTTGGGCATCGAGGGATTCCGTGCTACCGAGGGATGGCTTGCAAGATTCAGGGAGAGGCACTCTCTTATTTTTAAGCATGTGTGTCGTGAAAGAGCCGATGTGGATGAAGATTTGTATGAAAACTCGAAGACGTCGGATCTCGCGTGTATTCTTGCGGAGTATGCGCCCGAGGACATATTCAATTGCGACGAAACGGCGTTGTTTTTCAAAGCTCTCCCCGACAAAACGATAACGTTCAAAGGGGATCCTTGCACTGGGGAAAAACGCAGTAAAGAGCGGGTGACCGTGCTCGTGGCAGCCAACATGACAGGCACGGAACGTCTGCCACTTTTGGTGATCGGGAAATCCAAGAGGCCACGATGCTTCCGGAACATCCTGCGGCTTCCAACGGACTACCGTTTCAACGAAAAAGCGTGGATGACACGTGAGATCTTTCAAGATTGGCTTCAAAAATTAAACCGCCAGTTCGCGTCCAAGGGGCGCAAGGTCGTGTTAGTAGCGGACAACTGCAGTGCGCACACAAAAATACCGGAGCTGTCTATGATCCGCCTGATTTTCCTTCCACCCGCAACCACCTCACTCTTGCAACCAATGGATCAAGGAATAATCAAACACCTGAAGGGCTTGTACAGCAAGCATCTCATGGCAAGAATATTGCTTTGTCTGGACAAGGGTAAGCGCTATGAAGTCAGTCTGTTGGCGGCGATTCATATGCTTGTTAAAGGGATACTACAACGAAATTTCGACGCTCATTTTTTGGTCTATATGTAGAGGTGTGCGAATATCAAAATCTTTCGAAGCGAATCGAATCGAATAATAAAGGTTACGAATCGAATCGAATCGAATATTTTCGAATACGAATAGTAGTTCCAAATAAGGATATATTTGAAAACAAATATTTTTTATTTGATGTGAATTAAACAAGAATGCTTAATAAAAAAACACAACTGGAATTTTTTTTCAACAAACGTTTCTGAAAAGGTTACTTTTATTGCAATAAGAAAAATGTTCCACATGTGACTGTTAAAAGAAACAGATGAAGAAAGATCAGTCAGTAAAATACCATTCCTTGAGTGAGGTTAGAGAACGTAAATGAAAGTGCAAAAGTGAAGGCGGGTCGGCAAGCCACAACGCAGTCGAAAATCGCATCGCGGACGAAAGGAGGCACTTGAGCGTAAACGCAAGTACGCAAGCGGTGGCGGGTCCGCAAGCTGCAATACGAAGTCGATGATTGCGTCTCTACTTTGTGCGATCTCTTTTTACGCTCGTGAACGCAACCACGTGAACGTAAACGGAAGTACACAAGCGGAGGCGGCTCGACAGGCCACAGCAGAGTTTCAGATTGCGCGATCGCGCTGCGCAACCGCACTGACTATGCACCACCTATGCACCATCTCTTTCCGTGTGCAATAGTTCTGTCCATAGAGGGCGCCACAAAGATGCAATAAATTAAGAATATGTTGTTTGTTTTGTTTTTTTTGGCGGGGGGAGGAAGTCTCACTTTTATCATTGAAAACGGGTAGAAATAAATAACAAAAGGAATACTGGCAAACTGATAAACCGGAAAATCAAGCGGAAAATAACACAAGCCAGATATCACCGATAGCCGAGGTGAGCCATAAATCCATATCCGAATCCATAGCACCTTGGCTACTGTAGAGCACTATATAGCTCCTTCGGAGCAGAGTAGCGCAATCTAGAACGCCGTCTCTCGGCGACTAGCGGCGAACGCCCGGAGGTTCCAACTGCGGTCAGAAATGCATGGAGAACGTGAGAAAATCGTTGTTTCTTCAGTATTGCGCGGATGTACGGAATGGAAATCATTTTTGACATAATAATGAAACATTTTAGAATAATGTGCGATAAGTTTTGTGCCATACAAGGACGTAACTTTTTTTAAAAAATTGCCTGAGTGGCATCATGCAGCAGACGACACGGCGACGTCACACCATTCACGTGACCCGCTCCGGCCAACCCGAAAAGCCCATCTCCGCTGCGAGCAAAAATCGTCTGCTTCAAACGCCATTGCCTTGGAAATTGCCTTCTCAAAATTTGCACACGCATCCGATATTATTAAAACTTTGCTAAAGTGTTTAGCGCTTTACGAACTTCACGACAGGCTAGTTTTGAAAAATGTGAACTCGCCGCTAGTTTTTTAATCAGCCGTGTTATGTCGATCTCCATGTATTCTCCCATAGGGCGGGCCGCCTCCTGGAACCCTGAGTACCATGTGACTCGCGCCGAGCCGCTCTGTCGGCCATGTTGTCGGCAAAACACGGGGTTCAAAGGATTGCGCTACTCTGCTCCGTAGGAGCTATATAGTGCTCTAGGCTACTGTAGTCATTGTAGGTACGGTTGTGCTACATTAAAAATGAATGCGGACAGGAACGTATACAAGACGTCTCTGGCGGACGCCCGAAACGTCGTGCGGTACGTCGCGACGATGCATGTGCCATTGCAAACCGTAGTCCTTCATCCTATCTATCACAGCGTTTGCACCACGACCACTTAGCCAACTCTGCAATCCGGACATCACGGCAAGCAATGGACAGATCGCGCTACCGCGTGCAAATAACTTTCCAATCCTTTCTACAAAAAAAAAAAAAAAAAAAAAGATATTTAGGTTGGTTGTGTAGGTTTGCCAAGCTCGAAACCATACTGCGCAGTCCAAAAACAAAACAGAGAACTCGACCGCAAGTTGACACTAATCAATGAGTTCCGCGTTATTCGTAGTTTTCGAAGTATTCGAAGAACTCGAATAGTTCGAACAGCGAAAGGGCGAAGCGAATCGAATCGAATAGCAAGCATTATTCGCGAAGTATTCGAAGTTTCGAATATTCGCACACCCCTATCTATATGTGTTCAAAGGAGCAGCATCACATCGAACATACCATTATCTTGTTGAAAAAGTCACGAAAAAGAATTTTAAAACAAATTAAACGATTAGCAACGAGCACCTGGTGGATGTTGCTAACGCCTCGCTTGTAATGCCCGTCTAGGAACCTTGACAGCTAGTGACGGAGGTTGTCTCGCCTCCGGCCACGACGAAAGAAGAGGGGCAGGAGGAGCTCCCCTCTTCCCGAGAATGCCTTTTGTGTGTCGCAGAAGTCGCTATTGTCCCCCTACAAGATTATAGAAGATTAAGCCGTCACTCAAAATTCGTACAAAAGCAGCCGCTTCGGCAGCTGGAACGACTAGGCCATCCTCTCGACGTCAGCCTCGCCGTAGCTTTGCTCGTCCTGAGACGACCTACGTCACGATTGCGTTGGATGTCACGTGGTCTCCGCTGGGCCTTCTTTGAGCGCTTGCCAGAGTGGGCCGTTTATAACGAAAAATACAGCAACCAGGCTCAAAATACAAACGTGCGATTGTCATTTACGGATATTGTGGATCATATTCAACCTATTTTTGAACACGACGGGATATTTCAAATTTCGTTGAAGTATCCCTTTAAAGCATGGACGGACATGCCAAGCCAGGTCATCGCGAACTGCTTTCGTCACTGTGGTTTCTCGTGTGATGGAGATACCGCGAGTTTGACGACTGCATCGGCTACTACGTCTACATCAGCAACTGCATTGGCTACTACATCGGCAACTGCATCGGCTACAACATCGGCAACCACAATTGAAGATGAAAACTTTGACGAAGAGTGCAGTGCTCTAATGTCCGCTCTACCCGAAAACGTTGGTTTCAATGATTACGTTGCGATAGATAATGGAGTGCTTGTGTGCGGTCAATTGACTGGTGATGAAATCATCGCATCAGTTCAGCGTCCCAAGGGTCACGAGGACGACAGCTGCGAGAGTGACGCCGAAGAGCCACCGCCACACCCATCTCCTGCCGAAGCATCCGCTGCGCTCAATGTACTTGCGAACTTCACAACGTTTGAAGACATTGACGGGACGATGTGGCCGCACATTGAGGATATGCGGAAATTTGTTTTTGCGAAGCGTCTGACGGGAATGCGGCAGCAGAAAATATCGGTGTTTTTTTTCGAAATAAAACTCCGTCGTCACAGTTGGCTTTTCGCCGCTTCTCGTGACGTACGTCGTTACTCGTTTTTGATCGATATTCGATAATTCGACCCTTCGATAATTCAATCTATTTTCGAGGAACCGTCAGAGTCAAATTAACGAGCTTCGACTGTAGTAGGCACCCGTGAGAGCCGCCGCGCTGCACCACCGCCACTGCAAAGTTATGCTGGAGCCGTTCAGTGTTGCCGCTAAAGTCCCCAGAACCAACACCCCCGCTGCCGCACGCTCGCTGGCTGAACTCGTTCTTCCACGCCGCCACTGTCAATTTCTGACCGGTGCGCAGGTCCATCACGTGGTGCTTGAGCTCTTTCGGGAGCTTCCTATGGGCTCTAAAAGTTACTTATTAATCTTTGTTTTAAGTGCAACCAAAAGCAAAGGTTAATAAGTAACTTTTAGAGCCCATAGGAAGCTTCCAATAGAGCGCAAGTACCACGTGACTATAGCGGCCAGTTGCACGACTTTAGCGGCCACTTTTTTGCAAGCTCCCGTGGGCAGCAACTACAAATTTGTTTCACGCCGTAAATATAACAGTAAATTATTTTGTTTTCGTGATACATTTGTTTTATGACATCCTTTTTCCATCCAGGCAGTTTAAAAAAACTTTTTTTCCTTCACGTATGTCCTTTAACTTGTCACCGACTATAGTAGAAGTTGCAGCCGTTGGAAGATAGGGCCGCTTCGAACGTACAGGCAACCCGATGAACGCTCGGCAAGGCAAAGCTCCAACAGATTTCCCACCACGCAGCCACCGTTAGACATTCTCTTTGGGCGGGACGGAACAGCGCAAACCAGTGGGGTGTGAAAAGAACAGACGGCGGCTCCACTCACCATCAGTGCCATTCTGCTCCCCCTCAAACGTCCGGAGGAGCAGGGAAACATCCGGAGACGGAGACGCTGCGTCAGAACGACCCCCGAGCTTCCTGCGGAACGGTCGAGACAAAGGTCACGACGAGTGCTCCGTGAGCAACTCAAGATCCGGCAGTCTGCCAACGTCGCGGGCACGCAGGGCACCCTGGGCATGCGCACACGCTTCCACGCCTACAGGTTCGCACTCTCTCGATAGCAGAGTCGACCTATCCGGCAGTCACGCAGAACCGCATGAAAGAACTCCGTATCGAGGAAGATCTGAGACTGGGGGAGGGCGTCAGTTTCGAGCCTGACCCGAGTACTGCTTCACCCCGCGGGAAACAAGAGAAGGGATCTTACCGCCTGGCATGCTGCCGGAGGGCCTCGAAGCCGTACAGGATCCTCAGGGTCCCCAAGTTGACGATCTCGCCGCGCTGGTCCAGCCCGCGACCCCCAAACCTGAACGACACAGAGACCACCTGCCGGGCTGTTAGACACCGCAGGCAGCTGCACCCCGCCCTACTGCCGAGAATCCGTACACGCAACGATGCAAAGCGCGTCGACGCATTGGCCCCTCTCTATGGGCAAATTCTAGTGGCGCAAAACAATCGATAGTACTAGTAATACTATCGATAGTGGAAGCTGAATTTAACTATCGAAAGTACTACCGATAGTACTATCAATACTATACTATCAATAAGTGACCATCGTCAAACTAGTGATACAATGCTATTGATAGTGAACTATCACAAGACTATTTGTGAGCAAGTGCCAACAGTTTTTGTTAGATATCAACGCCCTCTTTTCGTGTCTTACTTTCATTTTCTTAACGCCAGACAGCTTTCTAAAAGTTGACTATGGGTAGTATCTATGTCAGTTGAAAGCCAATCATCGATAGTCGACTATCAATAATTCACTATCGATTGTTTTGGACACTATCAATAGTTTTGAGAAAGCTATCGATAGTATTGATAATCAATTTATACTTAGTTTTGTATTCCTGGTAAACTCTTTTTTACTTGAGAAAACATTTTCACTGTATCATTACATTCACTACACCAGCACCCCGAATATCAGTAATAAATGCACACTTTATCTTTGACTCACTATATTCGTACCTCCGCTACATCGGTCGCTACTACAGAAAGGTTATGCGCTAGGAGGGAACAGGATTCGTTTGACGCCGCATATATTTCAAGAAACCACAGGTTTCAAAGACAAAACTCCCTCTCAAATCACAAGTGCACCTTTGCAAACACACCTTGTATCAAACATCTCAAGAGACTCGTCTTTTCCACACTCTTCCTTCGTTTAGATCAATGATTCTCAAATGGGGGTCCGCGGACCCTTTTGGGTATGTGAAGGCATTCTATGCGTCCGCGAAGCCCTGCCTCATCGGTCAAGCCTGGCAAGAAAAGTTGGCGTTTTTTCAGGTTGAAAATAACTGTTTCAGTTTCAGGCGAGTTTTCTCATGTGTATGCCAGTAAGAGAGGTCTACTTCACACTAGCCCTTAGTTATATTCATTTATTAAATCATTATTATATTTAACCTATACCTTTCCCTTCCCCTCACCACGAAAAGGGTCCCCCATCATCTCCGCCAATCCACAAGGGGTCGGCGAAACATTGAGGGTTGAGAACCACTGGTTTAGATAACACAATACACACTGAGCAGGATTTCATTTTCTTAGAAATAGTACCAATTTCTACAAATTCGAATCGAGTCATATTAATTATAATAACCATGCTGGAGAATGGCATAAAAAAAGTACATCGAAAAAGGATAAAGCCACGCCCAATAATCTATTTTGGGCGCTGTAAGAAAAACTACGAAGGAAAAGGTGGCGAATTTTTTTCAAATAAAAAAGGTGCAGTACCATTTAATCAATGTTGGGTAAAGTACAGTCGGCCACAAAAGTTTACGGACCGTGCCAGCCATGGTTCAGCTGCATCACTCCATTACCTTGCGGTGCGGCGCCCGTCATTCGAGGCCCATAATGCGCGTTCTTTGGTACTCGCAGGCATGCTAACTCTCCTGCTTCCGGCCAATGCCTTGTTATTCTCAAAAGTATGACGCCGGCGACACTTCGGTAGCCGCTGCTTGTTGCCGCAGCTGTATCTCGGTAGTGCGATGACTGGCCGAAGTTGCAATATCGCCTCCATCTTGCACCGTCTTATGTACGTGGAATTGTTTTTCCAGCTCAGCGGCCAGGATGACGGCCATTCTGTTTATTTTTTCCTTTTTTGTTTTGGTTTCGAAAGCCTTCTAAGTTCTTCTAATATGTTATTTATTAAAGTGCACAATATATAATAAATTACACTTTCTGGAATAATTGTTGCCACTGACTGGTTGATAGGGCAGCGAGTGCAGAGAAAATAAAAAGCTTCCGAGACAAAACAAAAAAAAGGAAAAGGCCGAATGGCTGTTTTCCTGGCCGCTGAGTTGGGAAAAACAATGCCATGTTGGATGGCAGGAGGTAGAGTTGATATCTCGGCTTCTGCCACTCACTGTGCCTCCGATATACCATTACAGCATGGCAGCCAACGGTGGATATATCTAAGCAGCACCTGGTGTCTTATTCGTGAGATTAAGAAAGTGACAACCGGAAGAGGGAGAGTTGGCATGACATGCGAGTACCAAAGGATGTGCATGAGCGCACTGCGGTTCCGAACCACAGGCGCCGCGCCGCAAGGTAGCACAGTACGTAATGCAGCTCGGCCACGGTTTGCGCGGTGCGCAAACTTTTGTGGCCGGCTGTACATCTAAGAAGTACTTGATGTAAAGTACCAAGTAAATGAGAGGTTATGCACTTCAAGCAAACTAGTATGTACACTGGGCACAATGTACTTGAAGTAAAGCACTATAATTAGTGATAGGGCAAAACTCCGGAGGGTTAGTTTCGGAAGATTCCGAAACTTTTTGAACGAAATTTCGGTAGTTTTGAGGGTTCTGCAGTTTTGTTTCTGTCTAGCCAACATGGCGTTGTTCCTTCTGGTTTTGTGGGCGTTGTGAGTGTTTGAAGACTCTAAACCTTGATAGAGACCGAAATTCAATCAGGTTTTTTTACCAGATTGCCTGCGGTGTGTGGGGATCTTCGTAGATCCTACGGTCCCATGCTGAGGCTTGGGGGCGTGTCTACTTATGGAGCGTCTTCTTGATCAATGCTCGAAGTGACGGCCAACTGACTGTAGGAACTCAAAGAGCAAATCTCTATGGTAGCTTGTGCGTGTCCAAGTGTCAGAGCTCCGGGTGCAATGTGTAGGCCTCCCCAACATTTCGGTCAGGAACCATGGTTGACTGATCAGTGATTTCATTTTCACTCTGGAAACAAACTGCTAGTGTCTTCAGCGGAGCATTCTGTGTGAAAGGCACCTAACTGTGATGCACGAGCAATAAATGTCTTTGGGTTAGTATCTTTCTGAAGAACCAGAAATAAGTTACATAGCCACTGCAGCAGATAGTGACGGGAAATAAAGCAAACTTTGTTAATCTGTACTGTGCAAATAGCTTTAGCTTCGTGAAGGTCTCGCTGCCATTTGTTTGCAGCCTGTGCTGGTGCCAAAAATAGTTGCTCGGTGCATCCCCTTGGAAACGTACGCAAGTTCCCGCATTGATGGTACACTTACCAGGTTCGTTGGAGCCAACTGTACCTAGACCTGGAATGTTGATTTCTTATAAACATGATACACGTATACAGCAAAGGAGGTTTTGGGCAGATCTGCACATGTTATCGATTGCATAACACAGATGTCGAAGATCTACCGACACAGTCACTTTTACATGCCACCTGTGTTGTGTCAACGTAAACTGCGACGTTCCCAGCGCTTGGAACGAACACCACACACGCATGCAATGAAAACGAGCATTGCACTTTGTGATAATCTATTTCACTTATCTGCCCACTTTATTATGGTCATGTGATGACGTGACAATGGAAGTTGTGAAATCGAAACTATTTTGATTGACACAAAATTTCAACATTTTGTGTCGTGTGGTTTGGTATTTTATTTCTTTGTACCTCAGATTTTATCTGAACAAGCCTATTTTGTTAACTTAAGAATTTATATAGCTACTTATTTAATGTGGTTTATAAGATTGTTTTGTTAAAAAAGTTGCAACGCTCAATATTGTGGTCTGGCCACTCTGGCAACGCTACGAAGCTATCCGAAACACACCGAGGTTTGGCCATTCTTCCAAACCTTTTTGAAACCTCTGTTTTGGGTCCGAAACCTGTTTCGGAAAGATTTGCCCCATCACTACTATAAATACAATGTACTTTTAACAAAACATTTCATAATGCCCTTTCATTCCCCTATACATAGGGTGACCAGACGTCCCATTTTAAAGGTTCACTTCTGCCGACCCGTCTTTTTGGTCTAACGAAGCCTCATGTCCTGTTTTCTTGGAAACATGCATAGCAGTCGCGAAATCAGTACTAAGTGAATGAAATAAAAGTGAAAGAATATTTACTTGTTACAGACATAATGTTATAAAAATAAACACTATGAAACATACTGTAGTTGTATCTGCTAATACACTTTGTTCACATAAACGTGTGCGTGTATATTACTGAATTTGATGTGCTTCGGTTGGCAAGATGTCTTCTTCATTGCCAATAGATGGGAAAAAAAAGAACTTGTGTTCTCAAGAAGTAGCTTTGGACAAATGTGCATGTTTACGTTTATGTCCGAATGACGCGGTGCTTATGCCACGATTTCGGACCAGTAGCTTGTTGCTACAACAAAGGGTCTGTAGCAACACGAGAGCAGTTTAACTCCCAGGAACGCTTCTGGCACAACAAGAGCTTACCTTGGACTCGTTACGACGCAAGACGAGGCGTTCGGGTGTCACGGCCAGGCGTCCGTAGGGTCCCTCCCGTGCCGCCGCGTCTGACGGAGACCACCGCCATAGCGCCCCCCGGTCAGACTCGGGCGAGAATCAACCGAGCAATCCAAATGCACGAGCGGCAACTAACCCTGCTCGCTTCCTTCAGAGCTAGCTTATAGCCCGTTCCACCTTACGACCAATTGCAATCGACGCTACGAGCCACTGGAGCCATTCCATACCTCGGAGCGTGCCACATGACCTCCTCGTGGCGCGAAGTCACGTGACGCGCTCCTAGCTATTGACTGGCTCCGGTGGCTCATACTGTCCGTTGCAGTTTGTTGTAAGGTGAAACAGCGTATGGATCCTTTTTATGTTTATGAACACAAGCCATCCCCTGCCTCCCAAAAAATTTTCAATTGCACCGTTTTTTTTTTTTTTTTTTTTTTTTTAATTCTTTATTTATATCCTTTTTTACCTCAAGAAAAAAATTTTTGCGTATTGTTCATACGCAGTGCGAAGTAGTTCTTATGAGGTTTGTTTGCCGGAGGAAAATGCGATGCTTTTGGCGTTTGGAACGTGTACATTTTGATAAGATAAGATATATCTAATTCAGAAATCACCTACATATATCTTAATTATCAACATAAAGGGAAAAATTAGCAATGCTTTGCAAAGAGCCGGACTTTTTTTTACTATGGTTCTTTAGGTGAAAACCGGTATAGACATCAATCGGCAGGCCTTATGAGCCCATTGATGTTGAAATTCCTGGGATGAAGTCCTACAGAAACCACAAAGTTGGGAATTTAACGAGGTCCTTACGTTGTTATTTAGCATACAAGGGGGGATTGATCGTTGTACGGGAGTTTTGAACACTGTCCAACAACTCTCTCGCTAACCGGCCCTTTAGTTAACCATGTAAAGGACTGGTCATAAAATATTTCACGAACATTGGAAAAAGAGGTACTATGGTGATGGGCCAGTGTTTGTCTTTTCATTTGACTGGAAGGTTGCGGGGATGCAAGCGGCGCATCCTTTCGGCGTCTTTACGAACGGAGAGCATAGAAAGGCGCTATGGCCGGCCAGGTATTTCCCCCAGGGAGGGCGCGCTCACCCAGGGCGAGGCAGACGCAGCAGTCCCAGCAGCCATCGTTGGCAAGGCCGATCTGGCGGGAAGCGGTGGCGCCCTCTGGGAGGGGCATGCCCATGTCCAGCACGTGCAGCGGAGGCCCCGCAGGGTGCAAGCCGGACAGGCGGAGGTGCAGTTCGCCCCCAAACCCGTACAACTGCACCTGCGGCCCCAGGCAACCCTCGTTCACGCGGGGCACCCGGCGTCCGGTCCCACAAGCCCCACCCCCAAACCCCAGCCTTGCCCCATTTAACCCAGATTGCGTTTTATTAGCCGTTTTAATGCGAAAGCATTACTGTCTCATGGAGCGAGCTGACGTTATCAGTTTGAAGCGCAAAAACGGCACAGTTTCCCCGTTCCTTCGGTTTCATTGGCTGGCGCGCGCCGACGGGGCTCCCATTGGCCGCTGCGCCCGTCAGTTTCCACGACCACTCACCCCACGGCGCTGCGTGTCCGTAAGCGTGCCATTGCTCCCCTGGGCACGGAGCTTCCAAGGTCACCGTGCCCGAGGGAGCACACGCGCTGGCGGGCGATGAAAAGTATGCAGCAGAAGAGAAAGGGGGCGGACGAGTGGCTTGCATGCTTTCGCATTCACAACTCATAAGGAATGCTTAGGTGTGCCTCGATCTTTTTAATCGAAAAATAAAACATCCATCTATCACGCCCCACTGTCATGCTCAACCATTAACTTCGACTGCTACACACAGCTAAAGAGTAAACTGAACTACTTTGGCACTTGCACGGAAACATATCACAGAACGCACCTCCTCCTCGTGGTTTTGCAGCATTTCAGCAGATGCCCTCGAAAGATAACACGCCTCCTATTTTTGGCACAATTTCCAATTCTTTGTCAAAAACACCGAAAGATAGCCCACTTCTAGTAATTTCACGGCCCTTGTCAATGGTGACTTTGGCTGAAATGCTGTCACTTAGCCACGACGAGAGATAAGCGAACATTGGTGACTGGGAAGGACAGTAGTCTTTGGTTCATTGTCCCTCCCCGCAATCGTAAGTTTCATAGGTCACAAAATCTAAAACTAGCATTTTTTCTACCTTTTTTCATAGCGACCCGAAAGTTTGCCCACTCCTGACTTTCACCCGATTTCCTTTCAGTTTTAGGAGGGCTACATCCTGGGATATTGCAGGTATGTGCTCTAGTTAAAGATGCAGTCACTGGTAAATTTTTTGGGAGACCGCGAGAAATATTTTATATTTCGAATATTCACGCCGCGTTGTAAATCGAACTGCAACGCAATATGCACACCATAGAATATTTCAATGCCATTAAGAAAGACACGAGGAATCACACAGGGCGCCGCCGCTTGCAGCTTCTCGACACTGCGCGGCATGCAAACGGCCAAGACGGGATCTTACGCTCTTGTTTTCCGCGGAGGTCGAACTGCGGCTCGCAACGGTGAGGCGAGACTGTGCGAAGCCCACGCGGGTCGGTCTGAAGGTTACCCCAACCTCGAGGCTGGAGCCCGGTGCCAAAGACGCAGATCGACCGCCGCCTTGCACGGACACCTGGAGAGAAGAAACCTTCGAAACTGTGGCGCGTGGAACGCATCTCTTAGAACGCCGGCGACAATGCAGCACTTCTGTGACGTCACGAGGGACTGCATTTTAGGACGCAGTCCACACACCAGTCAGAGATGCATATGGAAACGTCTCTGCAGATGGAAAATGTTCCGACTTGCAAATGGCTTGGCCGCTTACTGCTTCTTTGATTGAATTCTTTCCGAGAAAAGGTTCAGGAATTTTCACAGAGCATAAGTCACTACGTAACACTCGAGCTTCAACGGACAATAGCCCCAGTCGTGAAGACAGGATGCCAAGATTTGAGCCCAATATGCTACCTCAGTGGTTTTTAGGCGTGGATGTGTCGGGAACCTCTTGGGGACACACCAAACAGATGGGGGATTCCATGCACAGGGGGAAGGGGAAGGGTATAAAGTAAGACAATTGCAGTGTGAAAAGGGCATCCTTTACTCTTATAGACAGGAGAAGTGAGAAGCGTCAAGTGAAATGATGAATGGACGGATAGATGGTAACAGTAGTACCCTTTATAATGGTCAGTAGCTTGCGCCACCTTACCAGAATCAACAGAAAACAATTTTTTCTTTTTTCGAGAAAAGAGGGGGGGAGGGGGGGGGGCAAAGGCTTCGCAGACCCCAAGAAATTTGAGAACCACTGCACTACCTAAATAAAAAAAAAACTGAAACAATACTTTTTTTTTTTGGTTTATATTGCAGGGTAGCAGCATCTTATGTCGGTGGCAGACATAGGCAGGATATTTGGCATAGCGACTCAAATCCTTGTATAGTCTACACCTGTGGATAGTCCACACCACATAAAATTTAAGCTTTTAAACATGTATAGTTCACTAACTACAGTCTGGAACAAACGATACTTCGTCATTTGCTCAGCTCCTTCAGAAATCACAACAATTTTCTTTTGACGGTGTTGTGGAAAAATATATACAACACCGTGTTGTCTATAAAAAAAAGTCACCCTAATTTTTGAGTAAATATGGTACTCGCCCGGACTATTTTGATGCTAGAGGCATAACTCCTGAAGCAACGGGCCCATTTTGAGTATGTAGTTTACATCTAGAGATGTAACGTCACAATAGATAACATTTATACAGTAAAACCTGTTATAACAAAATGGGATATAACAAACAAATGGATATAACAAAGCAATCATAATTCCCCTTGCTTGAATAGTTGGAAGAAATGGACATTGGCTATAACAAACTAATGGTTATAACAAAGTAATTACGACCGCTCCTTCAACTTCTTTATAACGAGGTTTTACTCTACTTAACAAGAAAACTGCTTGCTGTACTATATTTAGCATACATAAAAGACCTCCCCAATCTTCTTAAGTAAACTAATTAGGCTATATGCAGATGACTGTGTGATTTATAGAAAAACAACAAATATATCCAACTGTGTCCTTTTCTTTTGCAAACTGATTTGTTTTATGATGAATCGTGGTGTCAAGAATGGCGGGTGGAAATCAATGTACACAAACTACATTTCTTAATTTTGCTCTAAATGAACTGGGCGCAGCCCTGATTGATTATTCACTCTCTAGCATACCACTTAAAGCTGCCACAATGCACAAGTATCTCGGCATCAACTTTAATAACAGCTTATCATGGGAGCCTCATGATAAGCTATTATCATAATAGCTTATCATAAGCGTCATCTTTATCAGACCACATTGCAAACTAAACTCATTGCATGTATGGTACTCTCATTCGTCCTCAGCTAGAATACGCCTCACTACTCAGTCCTACTCAGAAGAAAAATTGGAAGCTGTTCAAAACCGGGCGACTCGCTTCATCTTTTGTAATTATATGCCTGCTACAAGTATCACTGCATTGAAAGCTCAACTAAACGTCCCTCTTTTGAGACACCAAAGAAATATATTCTGTCTTGCACACCTACACAAAATGTATTACAGTTGAACCTCGATTTAGCGAAGTCACCGGGACTCCCTAATTATTTCGTTAAATCGGGAACTTCGTAAAGTTGAGAAAGACATTCTTCGGGTTAGGCTGCGCGGGGAATCCCAATTTGTTCGTTAAATCGGGAAACTCGTAAAATCGGGTTTCGTTAAATTGAGGTTCAACTGTACTACTTTCCTTCAGAAAAAGATGCATACAGTCAGTCCGTTATATCTCCCTTTGCGCAGACCACCCACTCAAAATTCAACCGGTTTCACCTAGGACTAATCAATTCAAGTTTTCTCCATTACGACTGGCGACCTCTGACTGAAATGAACTACCCTAGCACATTGTTCGCATCCCAGAAGTTGATAATTTCCGAGCTGCCATTGCCACACTCCATGCCATTTAACATTGTTTGTAGTATATGTAAAAAATTTAACCTACGTAGTATATATTTCTATTGTTTGATTTTATAGTTAAATTTTGCCCACTTCATATAGAGTTTCCAGTGTGCATTTCAGGATAAAATAAACTAGATTAAATTATTGTAACATTAGTGCTCTCCATATGAAAGTATCACAACTACTCATGGCATCCTGTAGAAGGTAGCAGTTTGTAAACAAATTGAAAGTACAAACAATCGTTGCATGTGAGCAAAAGTTTTTGCTTGCCTCAAATTGTGATGCATCGTGTTTCTGAACTGCAAAGCTGACTTCCATCGCAAGAGTGTTGGGGTTTCGGAACATCACGCTCTTGGTCCTGGAAAAAGTGGGCAGGATATTGATGCTGCTGAGGTCAAGTGCACTGCTTACACAATGAAGCACACTATCAAGAATGAAACTGTAAAAAGTATTTTTGCAGCAATTTAGACAGCAGAGAAAACTGCATTATTTAGTTATATGGGAGTAGCATAGCCCGACCAATAACAATACTACTTGCAAATCAGGAAGTGATGAAAGCACCGCAGCTGTTGGCCTAGGAAAATTATCAGCGACGTGTTCTTGTTGAAATGAAGCAATTCTCTGGTTACCAATTTATTTGAAAAAAAAAACAAAAAAAAAACTAGGCACAGTGAATTGTGGTACATTGGTACTTGGGCTTTAACATTTACCATGACAGACTGAGACTGTTTCAAGCACTTGGGCATAATTTGCACAAACATTTTATCTCTTCACTAATCAAAATAAATCTGATTGGCTTTAATAGATCCGTAGAAGAACTTGTAGTTGGGCTAGTTGGTGAACGTTGAAAATCATGGTCTGTATATCTGTTTTCTCTCTTGTGTCTGTCGTTTTTTGTGCCTTACACCATGATTTCTAATAGATCCATTTGTAGTTTACAAAATTTGCTAAACTTCCTGCGGTATTCCTTATGGCTGCCTTTCGCCCAACTTTAAAGATCACAATTTTTTGGGGTAACAAAGGCCTCTGCCTATGATCACCAATACCTACACATTGTCGTACACTACAAAACCTACACTCTCAAAACAAATGACGTAGTATAATAATGGTGCAGGAAGTGCCAAAATCGTAACAAAAACAATGACAATCCACCGTCTCGAATCGGAAAAAAGAAAAATGACAGTTAAGGAAAGAACAATCCAATGCAGCGAGTAGTACCGCACAAACCTACCCAAGCTCTATCGACGTTTCACGGCCGAATGTCCGATAAACCATTCCGGTCATGAATAAACCCGCTCGTAGCTCTTTCGATCGGGCTTCAAATGACTCGTCTGGACTGTCCCAGTCGGGTTGCACTCGCGAGTTGAATACGGCGGCATGCACGGGGTTATACGATGCGGGAACTGTAGGCAGATTAAACGAGCCTACCGTTTAAAACCGAAAGGACATAGACGTCCGATGCATGTCCAACTATTCCTGCTTTTGGACGTCATTTTCGGGACGGATGTTAAACACACCAGTCGGAGACAGGCGTTCCTTCTAACCAAACTCATCCCGCAACAAGTAGTCACCCCCGCCACGACTCGCGCGTGCCCGTCGACCGTGAGACGGGGAACTGGAGCAACGCACGTGGAGCAGCCGACTTGCGTGCCGGACCAGAAGAGGGTCCGCCTGGTCGCCTCCAGAGGGCAGCGGTGCGGCAAGGCCCGCGTCCCGGGCACTCCCCGCAGCTGGGCCAGGTCCAGCCTGGGGCCCCGGGGCCACAGCAGCCCCTCCAGCACCCTGGGCAGACGCGGTCCCACTCCTTTAGAGGGCGCCGGATGTCCTCGCGCTGAGGAAGAAAGCTCGAAATGGCTACAATCTCCGACGGCACTTCGGTTGTCTAGCTTCCGGTGTCCCACCTTTAATGACACCTCGGCACCTCGTGAGCCTCGACTGTGCACATGCGGTCGAAGCGGGGCGAAAGGCAACGAGCGCAAGCCACGACGACCAAGTGTTCGAAAGAGACACCCACACGTGCGGCCAAAGTGCCCGGCAAAAGGCGCGTTCAAACACGGCCAATCTGGAGCGGAGAGGCGCGCGCTCCTCTTGCGGCCTTCGCACGGGGGGTCGGGTCTCCCTGTCGCCGCAGCTCGTGGGGGCGCTACCGCCCTACCCCTGCTTAACCCCTGCCCTCCGTACGAGGCGCGCTTCGCGCTCGCGCGTTTTCTGTGCCACCGCGCTTCGTACGCTCCAAGATCGAGTTTTAGAAATTACTGCGCTTGTTAGAAGAACTCCACGGCAGAAAGCCGAATACCCACAGAGATATTTATCTTTCTGCTTTATATATATATATTTAAAAAAAATAGGCCAATTACTACGAGGGGTGTCGCGCTTCAGCCGCAACAAATCTTGAACGTGAAAGTGGTCATGGGCTGTATATAACATCAGTCTTTTTCTATGCACGCTATTGTAGCAAACAAAAAATAAAAACACAATCGGACTGCCATTTCGGGGACACATAGTAACAATGTACCGTGTTTATTCGTGCTAAACAAGTAGGCTTTCTGAAGCAGTACGCCACGAAAATTACACGAGGCAAACTTACAAGTTTACAGCCTGAAATGCTTTCTCGACGGCTTATGTACATAGGCAGACGGCCTGTCATTATTGTCCGTAACCTTTCTTGCATAGTTAACGAGAAGGATCCTGACCAGCTTTTCAGAAATCAAACTAGCCGACCGCTTGGCGTGACTGTTGTCGACACCTTCTGGGCAGCTCAGGATGGGCGAGTCAACAAGATATGGTTCAATCAGTACTTGCAGGGATCGGAGAACATTTGTCCGTGGCATGTGCTTCACTGCTTTTTCAAAGAAGGACACTATCTTGTCCAAGAGAGCAAGAAACTCTGGCTTTGGGTAATAGAGTCCACTACTGTCTTGACATTGCACAAGCATAAACAAGGGGTCATTTTTCTTGCTTGTCGTCAGAAGCATTACACAAGAATCACACCCAAAGTCACTGATAAGCTTCACAATATACCCACCGACGTATCCAAGTCCAGAGTAGGTCACAGAGCGTGAAGGAGCACCGGGATGTTCTCTTAGGCCTCTGAGTTCTTCAATTAGTGCTGGTGGTAGAGCTGGAGCGAGGTCTTCGGTGTCAGCATCGGGTATCTTGACTTCCCCTGCAGCAGGCAGTCTTTTCTTTCACAATGTGATCTAGAGCCGCCGTCACAGCCCTTGCATCGAGCATGTCATTGCCACCACACACGGACCTTATTCTCCCAAGAAGTGCTTCGATGGGGTCGCTGTTAAGCTTTCTTGTCAGGACGAAGTTGGCGCCTTTTGCTAGGAGGAACTTTGTTGTCTCCACAGTTGACTTCGTGCTAAAAAGCAAGGCTTGGAAGGTCTCATCTGTGAAAGCATTCATTCCTGAAGCCACGGATGTTTCCTGGATGCCCTTCACGTAGCATGGAAACTTGTTTTCAAGCCACACGAGTCGAGGGTCGTCCTTCGTTGAGATGGGTCTTTTCTGTGCACTCCCTGCGTAGGTCGTGTCATGAATGTCAAACCATTCCTTCATTGTCTTCATGAAACGAATGGTAGGGCTTGAGTCTTTGAAAACATAAAGAGCAGGATCACCGCGTGAGTTGCCTTGAAGGTGTTCTAAGGCTGCAATAACCTGAGGGGAGAATATTTACACGGCACGAAGCACATTCATCTTCTCTAGGTTTGATGGGTATACATGCTTCCTTGTCAAGTTCCGTGCCAGTTTGATCGTCATGTCCTTTTGGTAATCATAAAGTTTTTGGACGAACATACCACTGACGACACCTGAGCCATCGGTAAGCTTGCGTTCGAGGAACTGGCTTCGGACGTTCTTGAGAATGTGGCAAGGGTCAAAGCTCAGGAAGATGATTCGGTCATGATCATCCGGATGGTTGACAACTGTTGACAGGCAGCCATTTCCCATGTGCTTGAACATCGTCGTGTTTGCGGAATAATTGTCCGTCACAATGCGAACGACCATGAACCCGCACAACTCCACAGCTGAGATGACTTCCTTGGTCCACGTAAAGAGGTCTCTTCCACTCAGCTGCCTTGTGAAATAGTAGGAGCACGGTATCCTGTACAAGCTAGTAATGCCATTGAGGACGAAGCATAGGACCCTGTTTGCGAGTGTTTCTTTTGAGCTAGAGGGCGTACTGCTATCCGGTTTGTCCCTGAGGCCAAACACTGCATCACCTTTCCTGTCGTAAATGCACTTAGGCTTTATGGCAGCCTCGTCAATGATTAATGACGCCATGTGCTGCTTGCTGCTGAGCATTGAGGCTTCGTGAATCAGCCTTTCTTTTATGGCGGCACTCATTCCCGATGATGTCGGACTTGGGCCTGTGTATCTCTGAAGAGTGCACTTTGCTGGAAATGTCAGAAGCTTCGATGCTCGAGCATGATCATAGCCTTTAGGCGAAAGAAATCACCATATCACACATTCTCTGATGATCTCTTCGGGGTAGCTTAGCCGTTTTTTCCCGTAGCTTTTTATCTGGTGAAGAAGAAACAGCGCCTTTTTTTCTCCCTTCTCCGAATCTGCAGCAATCTTCTTGACAGAAGTGTACCGCTCATCTTCACGATAGAAGCTGGTCACTTTTCTTTCAGCAGCGAGCTGTTGCAGAAGCTTCCCGCTCTTGGAGCGGTAGTATGCGACCTGGGAGCGAAGTCTTCCGATCGTGGAGAGATAACGGCTTGCTCGCTGAGCGTCATGGTTTGTCGTTTGTGTGCAAACACTAGGTTCCTGGTCGCCGTCCGACGCATCGCAAACGTCGTGCGAGTATTCAGCTGTTTTGGCTTTCCGCTTCGTTGGTTTCCGAGGGGGTAGGGAATCGCGAGGTACAGGGTCCTTGCGAGGCTTCTTCGCCCTTGGCGCCAGTTAGGATGGATAGTCTTCAAAGACGGTCGGCACGGCACCCGGAAGGAGCTTTTTGACGCGGCACTCAGCAACATAGTCACTATGACGGAAATGTCAGCTACAAACGACAGTTGAGGCCGACTTGTCGTTGATAGTAAGATTTTCTCGTGAAATGTTCTTTTTCCATTTAGAACACAGTCCTTCGTCGCTCGGAAATTGATGAAAAGAAACACCTGGAGTCTTCCCAGACCGGGATTTAAACAATGGCACACGGCAGTACACCATCAGCGCGATATCCGATACACGGCGTGCGATACGTTGTCCACTCAGGCAAGTCGTTCAGCCTCGTCCGCTCGAAACTTTCAACAGATCGGAATGAAGGCAGTCAAATGCGTGATCAGGCATCGAAAACAAAGGAACCATCAAAACACTCGAACACAGTTGAAGTGTGGAGCGGCCAGCGCGGCTCGGCGTGCGTTGGGGGAGGTCAGGGTGGTGGCGCCTTCTCGCGGGAAGTAGTGGCGTTACACGACTAGAAAAAATCGCATTGCTCCCTCAGCGAGAGCGAAGGCCGTAAGAAGAGCACGCCTCTCCGCTCTAGACCGGCCGTGGTTCAAAAGAGACGCCCCACCGTTCTCATCTTGCGATTACGATTGGCCTAGTTGGTTGCAATTCATCATAAAGGGACACTGACCGGGTATCTATGCTTGCCAAGGTTTTTATTTGAGCATGACCGACAAGAGCCCAACTAGCCAGAACACAACTTGCAGCTCGAAATTCATATTCTTTCCCCCCGAAAACCTCTGGTCGAGAATCAGCCGGTTTCAGGCGCGCTCACCCTCTTTTTTACGGTCATGTGCCATTCGAACTGATGCGTACCAAATATATTCAAAGTCGTGGACCATCTAAGGTGAACATTCAATATTAAAAACAGAAGAAAATATCAACTCCATTTTTTGTGGCTTTCAAAAAGCTGCCAATATGTCGACTGAAAAAAATTGGTGCACAGATCGCAGCAAGTAGATGTGCGTGTCATTCTTGATATGGAGATGTACTGCGAGCTGGGGGACAAGTGTGGCACAAGACGGACCAACGTTGCGACGGACGAGGGACCGCTACTTTGGAACTGTGGTTCGTGGTACCGGCCAATCGATCTTCAAGCACAGAACAGCAAGGGGAAAAGTATATTTTCGAAAAAATTGCGTGACAAGCGGTTCAAGTAATGTCCTCATTGTCATTGTCAAGCCCGAGAAGCGGAAGAATGTAAAAATATTGGGTAGAGAGCGATAGTCACATGACTTCCGGCAGCTCTCTCCTTAGAGTCACCCTGATCATACTGCGGTTTGAAGCAGTCATGTTTTTTACTTTATTAAAAATATATTACGCGGCTCTGTGGCAAAACATTGATTGGGCAGTCTTCTTACACCAAAGTTAATCGCCTGGCAAAAAATAAAAGAAAAGATATTGGGGGGAGGCCAGTCTTAATGTAAATTTTTGCTTCATCCACGTCTTTTTACCAATTGACCCTTAAAAAAAAAATGGCGCGGGACGTTAGGACACGAATGCAAGTGCTAAGTCAAAAGAAATTTGTGCGACAAGTAAACAAGTGTTGCCGTTAGAATGGGAATGACGGGAATGGTAGTGCTCGAGTGTCTCGCGAGCCTGGAGCGTGCACGCGCAGCCAAGGCGGGGCAAAAGGCAACGAGCGTGTGCCAGAGCAACGCCGGTTAGAATCATGGAGGCATGCAAACGTCCTCCTTTTCATCCGCGGAACGTCGTCACGGTCGAACGGTGCCAACTCAACAACCGGACCCGAGCCCGGCGCCAAGCGTCCTTCGGCGTTTGGCCCGGCCGAACGCCACCATGGTGCATGGGTCCAATTCGGGGTTTCGCTCGATCTTGCCGTGACGACGTCGAAATTATAAACCACGGGACTCGGTTATTCTACGTGGCGTCAACCAGAGGCCCTTAGAAAGAAACGGCATTCTCGCCGGTGGCTGACGTCTCGGGGGAATGAGCCTTTGGACCCCCAAGAACCTCTTCTTTCTGGCAAGTGACGCATGCAAAACGTCCCTTGACAGTCCTCTAGGGCCCCGCGAAGGGCGGTGCCGGAACTGCACGAGACGGGCAACAACAGCATGCGTCTCTTACCGTGAACGCATCTCCAACCGGCACACTTACTGCGTCCAAAAAAGCGGCCTCTCGATTTCTGTCCGACGACGTCGTAAAAGTGTCGCGACGGCAGCGGTGGACATGGCGGACGCCCGTCCCGCCGCCGGTCACTCTCTGGCCCGGCAGTTCACGGAAGCGCCGACAACCGGGAGTCGGGATGCCGCGACAAAGGCGATGCTCACTCGCTCGCGCTTCTTTCTCGAACTTGCATGCCCGACTGCCAGACTCGCGATGTCTGATGGCGCAACACTCCAATTTTTGCGAGGTCGGTTGTTCCCACTTTGGGCGCTTTTTCGACGCATGGGTGGAATGAGATGCCAGACGCGCGGGCAGCGACCCAAAGATGGCCGCACCTACCCGGTACAGTCTGCCGCTCCGTCGGCCAGGGAGAGCTGCAGCGAGGCCCCGAGCGAGGGTCCCAGCACGGCCCTGTCGGGGCTCACGCGGAACGGGGTCGTCGCCCGGAACTCCACGTCCAGGGGCCCGTTGCCTTGGTTCACCACCCGGACCGCCTTGCTCCCGCCACCCTCCACCACCAGGGGCTGCGAGGGAAAAGGGCCTCGCTTCGGACGACTAAAGGCCCGTTGGCACTCTCGCGACTGCTTGTGTGCCTTAAAACCCCTCTCTCACGACGAGACACCACACTGGCTCCGTCCATCGGGCACTCGTGGAACACTCGACAACCCAATGGAACACTTGGCTACCCAAAGGAAAAAAAACATTCAGCCTTTCCACCCTGGTTAAGAAGGAAGAGCAGCAGAGCTGCAGCTTCTTTTCTTGGCGGTGGCTTTCCAGGCAAGCAATCTGCTCTTCCTTCGCAAGGGAATCTGAAGCGCTCGACGCAGTAGAACTTTAGGCGATAGCAACCCCGCGGCGGTTGCGGAACCATTGGCGCTGCTGCACACATCGCCGCTCGTTCCGTTCCCGCTTTTCTTCCTCCGAAGAAATGTTGCCGCAATCTATGAGCGACGGCGGCAACCAGAGTGTTGTGTCGACCACAGGTGTTGACATTTGTTTGGTACCGGACACGATCCTGCTGGAGAAACTAGCACTTAACGGCTTCGCTGAAAACAATATTTCCTAATTTTTTAGCGCATTTTTTCTTTTTAAAGCTTCTGACGTTATCAACCGCCATTTCTTGTAGGTAGCATAAACACTTGATCCAGCGAATACTGAAAATTTTTTTCCTCTAGTGAAATGCAGTTCCGGGGCCACTTTATAGATGACGCCGGTGTGCTCTCCCGTAATGATTGCGAGGACTTGGTCGTAAGTAGGATCACGGCCGGACTGGAAGCGCGCGCTCTCTTTCTCTTCTTACGGCCTTTGCAATCGCCCGGGAGTCAATGGCATTTTTTCTCCGTATGTAGTTCACTTGCTTGCCGCCAGGGGCGCAACCACCTCACCCCACTTCACCCCACTCGGAGAGTCCCTTCGAGCTGCTTTGCGCTGGTGTTCGAGCTTCGTAGGTTGTTGTTTTGGCAACGGTTTATTAAACTTCGCTCCAATGCAAAGAAAAGGCCTATTCTAAGCCAATACAGATGTCAGACACTGATTCTGAGCAGTTGGCAGCGGCTGTGCCCGACTCGGTTAGCACCGACCTGAAAAAAAAACTGAAAGAGCCTTGCGCTCCATCTCCATCCGTGACATGCTATGGTCTGGTGTACGTCAGTGGCTATCTGGTGAAACTCATTAGTGAGTTTGGGTGAGCCGCCTGTGTTATGCTGTTGACTACGAGTAACAGAGGTGATCCTCTGTTCGTCTTATTGCAAGGCCAGGATAAACGCAGACTTCATTATCCAAATCCTAGGTTAATTGCAGTTCTGGACAACACTGTTGCTTTTTTTTTTTTTTAAAGCTGTTAAGCACCTTTCGCGTACAAATGTGCACAAAGTTCTGCAACTCCTCGTTGCACCCTATCTTGAAGACGCGTCAATCCTAAGTTGCCCAGAGGGCATTGACAACAGTCACTCAAAGTGCTTGGCTGGTTTAATTTGCAACACGTTCCCCAGAATACTTCTGATTAACCATGCAAAGATGGTCACGGACAGGAACGAAAAATCAGCTGGATATGTGCACAAGCCCTCGAGGAAGCACTTTAGGCTGTAGTGTGCGCTGTGCGAAAATCGTACAGACTACTACACCCTCGTCTAGAGCAGCTGACCGACTTCATGTGCGGCCTATGAAATGATGATGCAGACCACAACAATAGATACAATAGGCCTACTTACATTTCACGAGAGTGTACGAATTATTTATAATTTAAAGTTTTTCCACGTAAAAGGGGTCTGTCTCCTCCTGTTCTTGAGTTGCAACAGAAGTCCTGGAGGTAAAGACGAGTATAGTTTTTCCGCAAATGCATTCGCTGTCTCTACTTATTACTTTTTACTCCCGAATCTCTCGGAGATGTGCGTCAAATATTAACCGTTTTGGGCTCATCAGAAGCGCATTAGATAGTGGCTGAGGGTCTAAACGCAAGGATCAGGTGTCAAAGGCTATAAAAATCTCGGCCGCAAGTGGCGACAGCGTTGAGATACACTGTCAGGCGCGCTTTGTGCAAACGGCAAAGGGTAGCCCATGGGTGAGGTGACAGCGCACCCCGTGAATTGCGGTGGGAGGTGGCGATTGCCCCAATTGCAAAGGCCGTAAGAAGAGAAAGAGCGCGTGCTTCCAGTCCGGCCGTGGTAGGATGTCGCAAACCTGCCCAGGTTAGAGTTCGACCAGATTCCACTTTTTCTAACTTCTAAAGCAAAGTTAAGAAAAAATAGTTCAACTTCTGCGCACGTGTACAAAAATTTCAAGGCGAGCTGACCCCACCCGTCGGAGAAAAAAGTGGAACATCTGTTGGAAGTATTATGTTTTATCGTTCTGCATTCTTAAAGTAACTAAAGCTTTTTTAGGGGCGAAGCTCCTTGTCCGTCCGGCGTCCATGCTCACATCGATTGCCATCCCATCTGTCTTCTTAAAAAAAGAAAAAATGTTTGCGCAGTCAACAGGATTCGTAATTCAAGAGCTGGGGATGTCATGAATGAAACGTTGCATGTAGCCACTCAACGTCTATACAGGAGAGGGCGCTGCGGTCAAATGCTTAAATGCGTATATAACCACGTTCCATACCACACACTCTCTTTCTGACACGGATGAAAACAATGAGAAAGGATGAGAAGAACCACTGGCTCTGCATTTCACTGACCATAAAGCAGTAATAATGAAGTCAAAACGCAACCCGTAACTCAGCACTACCTATGAGCAATAAAAAAAAATCAGCACCATCAGCACTACCTATGAACAAAATCAGTACCATCAGCACCACCAGAGCTTCGCCCCAATCAACATCATTCACCACATGGAGGTCCGGTCATTTTTTTAGTCACTTTAAAGCATTTTTAGTGATGTTATTTGCAATGCTGTTGAGGCATTTTATTTTTGAATATTGTTATAATCGACATACAAGTGAATTCCCAAGTAAAAAAGTATGAAGTATTATTGACTTTGTATAGTGACTATCTAAAAATAAGCCTTTTGTACCTGTATATGTATTTGTTCATGTAAATTTGATTCAACCTCTTTTTCAGTTAATTTAATTTCAAAGTGACTGCTTTTGTAGTAATTACTTTTTTTTTTCCACTCCTGCTTGGGCCAACCATTGGCCTGCTGCAGACATGTACGAGTTACTCAAAAAGTAACTAAGTTAAGTTACTGAACATTGGCCTCAAAAGTAAGTTGAGTAGAGTATAAATTACTCAAATAATGGCAATCAAGTAAATTATTAACTACCGAAAAAGGTAGCATATTACTTTTGAAGTTATTTATATTTTTTAAGGTAACAAGAATTACATACGTTTTGATTCGTTAGCGAAATTCTGCTAGCCGAATATAAAGCAGCATCTGTGTTCACAGAAATGCTTTAATAGCTGGTTCTGCTTCTGCGTGCCAAATTGTTTTGTACTTGTTGTTTTGTCAATGATGTATTGTGGATGTATCATTTCTACTTTGAGGTTTAGCACTGGCTGAGCTTAATTTTGCAAACGGCATTTGCTTGTTCACAGTGTTGCATAAGGTACATCAAAAAGGTACTTGAAGAACAAAGTAAATGAGAGGTCATGTACTTCAAATATAGTAGTAAGCACACCGGGTGAAATGTACTTCAAGTAAAGTACTATAAACACAATGTACTTTCAAGGTAAAGTACAACTAGGGGGGATCAGTGGCCGAGTGGGTTAGTGCGCACCAGCTCGGAGCACGTGGAGCAAAAGCTCGCGCTGCGGAACCCAGGGATCCTGGGCTCAATCCCCACCCCCGCCCGTTTCGATCTGAATGAGCATCGTACCGGCGTGCGGTCGTGTATCACTACTGCGTGGTGCACGTTAAAGACCCCAGGCTAGCGGTTGTACTGCACTGGCTAAATTGCTCATCTACAGCTGGGAGACTCGTCGCCCATTGAGGCAGACCAAGCTCTAGGCTGTATAAACACACACACAATCAAATTTTTTTTTTTTTAAAGTACGACTATTTTTTAACACAATCTTTCACGATGCCCATTCATCACCTATACAGTTTTTTCTATTTTTTTAAGTGGTATGCATTATTTCTTTTGGAAATGGCGGCAAATGAGTCCAGTTGCCTTAGCGTACCATAGTTGTTTTACTCTCACTGATGCACTATTAAACTGGAATGCTATACTTGGGGGTTGTTGAGAAAATTTGAGGACTTTGGGATCCCCCCAGGATACCCTGTTTAAGAACCCATGGGTTAGAAAAACAACAATGTTTATCTGGAAACACCGGCAGGGACCAGACGTGGGCTTACCCCGTCGCCCTGGACGACCAGCAGAGGGGGCAGCAGGGTGGCCGAGAGGGTCATGGTTGCCAGGGGTGCCCCGGGGACGCTGGTTCCCTCCAGGGTCACCTCCAACCTCGCATCCACGCTCAGACCTGCAGCCAACAGGCGCACCCCGCCATTCGAGCACCCGGCAGTAAGAGTCGCAAACGGCTGGCGATGGCAATCTTATTCTTTTTGTTTCATAATACTATCAGCCCCTCGTGGGACTATGATAGGTAGAGCCCTGCACATCTGCAGATTACCCGCGCATCTGCGGATATCCGCGGTCAACTGGTGGATGTGGATAAAAATGATTCAGATTTGGCGGATTGCGGATCTGATGCGAACGTCGGGGACGCTGACATCACTCTACACTCTGCGGGACGGATGAGTGTAGAATGAATAAGTGAGTGATACTATAAAGTGTATCATTGAATGTTTTGCAAGAGAAAATTACTTTTAGAAAAAAAAAATGCGGATCGGGAAGAAAATTGTTTTTTACGCCAAGAAAGACCTGATTCTCACCGAAGATTGCTTTAAGGCACATTCTTTTAACTGCTTGACCGTAAGACCTTAAAACTTCTCATGACGAGAGAACAGACTGGTGCCACCTATTGGGTAGAAACACTTTCAGTGTCTGGACATTTCCGATTTCGTCATTCTTTCCTTCTTTGCTTGAAATACTTTTGACAATGTTATATACTACAGTCAAGCCCGTTTATAACGAACAGCAGGAAACGCTACGATAAGTTCGATATAGCAAGTAGTTCGATATAGCGAAAAACATTTAAAACGAACTTCCACGATGCTTTCATTGTAAGGTGAGAGCTTCTCTTTCCTTCTCATCTCTTCTGCGTTGTAACAACGTGCTGATTTTTAATTTTTTCTTGCACGAGATTAGATTTTTTTTTTTTTTTTTACCTTATCTTTTCTTCTGAATTGCTTCTCTTCGTGGGCAACTGCTTTGGGCTGAAAAGTTCTATTTTTTTTCTGTGCATGCGTGCAAAGCGTTTCTTTTTTTAGCTTTCTCCCCTTCTGAATTGCTTCACTTCGCTCAACTTTGTTCGGAGCTTGAGCTTTTAAGATTTTGTTTCAATCCTACTTTTTTTTTTGTTTTTTTTTGGGGGGGGGGAGAGGGACAGGCTAGAAGACGATTGTTTGCGCGTTTTTGGGAGCCTTCCCGGTGGGAAAAGTTAGATATAGCCAATCTGTCGTTCGTTATAAAAAGTATTTTTTACGTGCATTTTGATTTAAATTTTTGCGTGAGTTCGATATTGACCATAATTCGCTGTACGTGGGTTCGTTCTAAACAGGTTTCACTGTATCAGTGACGTGATTGGGCTAAGCCGTTTTGGAGCACCTTTTGGAGCAGCCAAAACAATGTTTTGGAACAGAAAAAGTGGCCTTTGGAGCAGCCATTACAGTGTTTTAGAGCAACAAAAGTGGCTTTTAGAGCAGCTAGAACAGTGCTTTGGAGCAGCAAAAGTAGCTTTTGGAGCAGATATTTTTATAAAAATAAAAATATTTGTTTTAAGTGCTGGACAAACGAAGGACACTTTGCTCGCTGCAATAAACCAATTATAGTCAAGTTAGACCACCTGGGAGTCTTTCAAGATGTTAACTGAAATGCCAATGGCATGACAGATTTTACAATGGTTCAGTTAAATGATACCTATACAGGGTGTCACAAAAAAAAATTACAGGGTTTTTTCACCGCAAAAATAAACTGGACATCGCCGAACGCTCATTCTCCACCCAAAGGTAGCGTTAGACGTCACAACCTGATGCCAAAGTTTCAGCGCGATCCGATATTTTATTCAAAAGTTATGTGATTTTCTGAAAATTTCAATGGGAAAATGGAGCAGATTTTTGCCCGTTTTCGGTTTCTGGTGCCATGGAGCCCCATGTATACGAAAACTCCGTCGGCCGCCATTTTCCCGTTGCAATTTTTAGAAACCACTTTTAACTTTTGATTACGTTATCGGATCGGGCTGAAACTTTGGCATCAGGTTGTGACCTCTAGCGCTACCTTTGGGCGGAGAATGAGTGTTCAGCAATGCCTAGTTTATTTTTGCGGTAAAAAAAAAAAAGAAACCTGAAAGATTTTTTGGGACACCCTGTAAATGTATCCGCTATAGGTAAATAAGAACCAAACTGCACATAATAAAATTTATTTCAAAATTACTTGCTTAGTAGTAAATAGCACAGCATTAGGTTGGCTAGTGATATCATGAAAGCAGTTTCCAACTGATGAAACACGTAACTACTGCAGTGCAATGCGAAATTGTCGCGCGAGCGGAGATAGCTGTTCGATCTAAACCATGCCACTCCGCTCCGTCGCCAACTGGTTCCCAAAATTGTAGGAAAAATAAAACTGTCCAACATACGCAAAAAAAAAACAAAAAAAAAACAGTCCAGCGGCACGTGCTTGCCAGGCCGGCAGGCGAGGTTAAAAGCTAAACACACACACACACACACACACACACAAAAAAAAAAGAACCTGAGCACAGCGATGGAAGACATCTCGAGTTAGGGTGAAAAAGTTCTTGGAGCGCTATGTGCTGGGACGCAACTCGAGAAAAACAAGCGCGCTGTGCAGGTTCAGCGTGCAGACACTGCCTTTTTTGCTTTAGCTCACTTCCCTTCACCAACTGTCTTTCGTGGCAGATTTTTTCACGCACCGGGGTCTCCCTCGAAAGAAAGCTTAGCGAGAGAAACCTAGGTAATCAATACTTTTACACAGCAGTCTTTGAGATAGATGAATTTTTGTAGCAGCGTATTAAACAAGAACAGGAATGTTGATGAACACTAGGGCGAACCTGACGTTTCAGTTTAGAAAGCGCCATATCTGCAGCGAGGTGGGGACGGTAACACCCGACGTCGCGCGACCACGGTGACTGGCAGGCAGGGACCAAATATTGTTTTCCCAATGCCGTTGCTTTCAGGAGCGAGTGCTTCAGCTCACAAAGTAACTCCCGCCGCACAAAAACGTGGTTTCGTTTCACAGCATGACGGCATGGTTGGTATTTAGCACGCTAGCGTCGGAGCGCCCACACACGCCGCGCCTGTCCTTAAAAAACAAAAAGGGAAAAAATGCAAGACAACGAGGTGCGAGAGCACGGAACGAGAGACGCTAGGGGAAACCATGCAAGAGGTGGGGGGGGGGGGGGGGGGGGGGGCGATTGGATGAATGATTGATGCAGGGTACTTTCTGTCGGGCGGCGGGCGGCTTGTTGCGCCACCTACCTCACGCGTGCTCAATTACAGTACTCAGTTTAGTTTCGGTTTTGATAGACGACCAAAATTGGACCTTTGGCGCATGCTTGGCGCAGATTACCCATATCTTGGCAAAATGTAGCAGGATGTAGCAGGGTTAGCCCCTTGGCGCAGTTTGGCGCAATTGGCGCAGCAATCACATCACTGCTGTATGACCGTTTGTCATAGACACATGTACATCGGGGGTACTACGCTACACGGCGGGACCAAGCGGGATTAAGGGATCAGGACAACGCCGTGTAGCATAGCTCCCCTGATCTCGCAAATATTGCAAAACCTTCACTCCAGTGAAATGAAATTCTATGATCACCTCATAGATGGTGGCAGCGTGTTCTCTCGTCCTAGGAGATTTTAAGAGGTTTTAAGGAACAGGGACCTAAGAATGCAAGTGGGTGAATGAGCCTCTGAGCATCCTATCTCACCAAAAATGTTGTCCCTAAAAAGAAGCAAAGAATGCGGGACATCTATTGTCCCGGGAAAGCATGTTCTTGTTTGGTAATGAAAGAGCGGAAAACATTCTTTGGGCAAAGACAACCTAAAACGTACAAGCCGCAAAAAAGTAGAAGAAGCTTCCTCAACAAGTGAGACCTGACGTGCGTGTACATTTTCATTTTTTCTCGACAGTTGGTATGTTGTAGTTAAGTATGTAGTTATGTGGTTCGGAGCATGCAGTAGGCATTGCCATTATTGAATATTGTGATCTTTTTTCAGTGGCGTACACTAGCATTACCACGTTTAGGCGAGTACTCTGCTGCGGTGATTGATTGCCTTTCCTCTCGCACTTATTTATTGTTTGACTGAAATAAAATGACACAACATTATTAGTTTGTCCTTTATTAATTTTCATGGCTAGAAAAGATGTGTCTGCTTAAAATCAGTGTTACAGTAGAACCTTGTTTATATGTTCCCGGTTTTTACGTTCAAAACTGCTGGCCCCACCGAGCTCCCACAGATTCCATTGTCAATTTGGAACTTTAGAAGCAGAAAGGACAAAAGAGAGAAGGGAATTTTAGATTCACCAGCTTTTCCCGAAGCACACTGCCGTTCCTCGTTACTTTGATAGGCAAACACACAACTGCTTTTGTTTCATAGTTTATTGTTTTCTTTTGAGTAGTCCTTCAACTTAAGCAGCAGCTGCGTCTCAAAGTTTTCATCGGTTATGTTTCCCCGCTTCCTTGAGAACACTTCTCCGGCGAAGCTGAAGAGACTAGTTCTACTGACACGCTCGAAGGAACGTCAATGTTGTACTTCAGGAAGAGCTGGCGAATCTGGAATTTACCTCTCTCTTTTGTTCTCTCGGCTTCTAAAGTTCCATGTTGGCAATGGGATCCGTGCCTTCCGGTGTTGGCAACATTCGGGTTCACATTCGGCCTGTACATAATTTTAAAAGGTTCAACTAACGAACCTTATTGCGCCCGTTGGGTAAAGGACACTCCCGGCTGTAGAGTTTGACTGACGTGTTCAGCGATAAATGATGCAATACTGTCATGCTGTTCAGTTGTTTTTTGGGTTGCCCATCTGCTTTGTCGCAATAAATGCATACTCGGGTCAGAATTAAAATGAGCCTGTTTAAACGGTGTTGTACACGCTACTCCTCAGAAGTAACGAAATACTGTTACTCGTTACTTGGCTTTAAAAGGAACTAAGTATGTTACTCATTCCTTTTCTAAAAAAAGTAACTAAATACGCTACTTGTTACTGAAAAAATGAGACGTATACAATCCCCTGTAACGCCGAATTAGAGCGCAGCTCTTGAGGATGAGGAGGGAATTCCCCTCCTCATCCGTACCCTCCCCTCCTCCTCTCCTGATTCCCTCCTATTTAGCAGGAAATATTAGCTAAATTTCCCGCGGAAAAATTTCTCGGCTAAATCAGTCAAGGAATTTTTTTCACTAAATCTAGCAGGAGATTTTTTTTTTTTTTGCTAAATTTAGCAGGATTTTTTTTTTTCACTAAATTTAGTGGGGATTTTTTTCACTAAATTTAGCAAGGAACTTTTTCCACTAAATTTAGCGGTAAATTTTTTTCGCTGAAATTAAGCGGGGAACTTTTCCCGCCAAGTTTAGCAGAAAAATATTTCTGCTAAATTTAGCTGAGAAGTTTTTCGGCTAAATCTAGCGGGGAATTTTTCCCGCTAAATTTAGCAGGCAAGTTTTTCTGCTAAATCTAGCGGGGAATTTTTCCTGTTAAATTTAGCAGAGAATTTTTACCTGCTATATTTAGCAGAGAATTTTTTTCAGCTAAATTTAGTGGGGAATTTTTTCCACTAAATTTAGCAAGGAACTTTTTCCACTAAATTTAGCAGTAAATTTTTTCCACTGAAATTAAGCAAGGAATTTTTCCCACCAAGTTTAGTGGGAAAAATTTTCCGCTACATTTAACTGGGAAGTTTTTTGGCTAAATCTAGTGGGAAATTTTTCCCGCTAAATTTAGCAGGAAAGTTTTTCTGCTAAATCTAACGGGGAATTTTTCCTGGTAAATTTAGCGGGGAATTTTTTCAGCTAAATTTAGCGGGGAAGTTTTTCCGCTAAATTTAATGGGGAATTATTTCTGCTAAATTTAGTGGGGAAATTGTTTTGTTAAATTTAGCGGGGAATTTTTTCCACTAAATTTAATGGGAATTTTTTTTAAACTAAATTTAGCAGGGATCTGGTTTCGTTAAATTTAGCGGGGAATTTTTTTTGATGGATGGATGGTAATGGCTATACCCTTTGTAACGGGCGGCAGCTTGCACCAGCACCACCTAGCCTAACATTTTGCCATCCTTTTTTTTAAAAATTTGTGTACGTTTTATTCTGACACAACCCCCCCCCCCCCCCTTTTTAGAGTGTTTCAATTGCTTATTTTTATCTGTATTTTTACCCCTCCTTAGGTTTTTTCCACCAATCTTCCTATCTCCTCTTAGTTGCCACAATTCTTTCCCTATCCATTCGACCATCCATGTCTGCGAATCCCAGTGCCCCCTCCAAATGCATAGTCATCCCCCCAAGAGGGTAGGACGAAGCCCTGTGCACCTTAAAAATACATGTTCTACAGCTTCCGTTTTGCGGTTGCATATGTCGCATAGAGTATATTTCCTAGAATTTAGCCCTATACGTTTTTGTTCTTAGCACCCCTGTTCTAGCTTCAAACAGCAATAAACTCCCCAATGAATTATCATACAACTGTTCCTTCTTTATTTCTTGTTTTTGTGCCCTATATTTTGTTAAAGCTTGATTTCCCCTAGATTCTTTCTTCCCACAATTTCATCCGTTTCTTTTACTCCCTTTACTACTGGTATGCTCTGATCGGCCCCATCTCATTGAATGTATTTAGATCTCAGCTTGCGGGTTCGGTTCGTCCACATAATGTGTAGACTTTTCATATATACCGTAAAGTGTTGAAAGAATGCCCACCCATAATGAAGAGATAAATGGTGGATAACATGGGGCGGGCTATGTTTCGAGATGCCACAGCAAAACTTAATAAAAAATTAATGATAAACACCTTGGCATTTGCTACAAACCACGTGACACGGGAACTGATACCGCAGGTTGCTGACACCGCAAATTCGTGTTTCACGGTGCGATAAACACGCAGGAATTCGCTACTAACTCCTGTGTCATGGGAAACGATACCGCAGGTTGCAGATGCAGCAAGTTCAAGTTTTATGCAATAAACACGCAAAAACCCGCTACAAACTTGCCTGTCACGGGAACGGATATTGCACGTGCAGATTGCGGTTGAAAACGCAGGAATCCGCTACAAACTCGTATGTTACGGGAACAAATACCGCAGATTGCTAAGGCAGCAGAATCATATTTTATGATGCAATATACACGCGGGACCAACTCTCGTGTTACGGGAATCGATATCACGAGATTAGGTCGTGGAAAAAATGCGGGAACCCGCTAGAGACTTTTATGTCACGGGAACAGATGTCGAGGGCGCAGCATATTTGTATTTCATGATGCAATATACACATGGAAACAACTTGCGAGTTACGTGAGCCGATATCGCGCATTCAGATAGAGGACGAAAACATTAGAACCCGCTATGAAGTTGCTTATCAGACGTACTGGTACTGCAGATTGTGCGGCGGATGCGATTCCCGTCGAACATCTCGTGAAGTCTGACAAGGATTGGGGGGTAGGTGATGTTTCGGAATTTTTACGTTACAAATATTTAGGTAGAAAAACAGGATGGGCTATCTCTCGGGGGGTGGGGGGGCGTTTTTTTGGAACTTTACAGTAGATACTTGTATATTTTCGCTGCCCACCGTGTATCCTCAATTTCAGCCAGTCTTTGTTCAAATTCAAAAAGGCATTGGCGAGCACCAAATTTTAGCCCAAATAGGCACTTTCCACCAGACTAGTAGTTTTGATGACAGCCTTTAGATTCTGCGAAAAAATAAATGGGAAAAAAACGGTCCTGACAGACTTACATGTGGCATGTTTTGTGGAGCAGGTCACTTCAAACTCGGCCACCTGCCCTTGCCCCTTGCCGGGAAGCACGCAACAGACGCTAGGGGCTTCGGTGCAACGTCCGCTCTCATCCCCGAGCGCACTCAGGGAAAACACTCCTTCACCCTGAAATGGAGAGTGCATGTCCCTTTGCCTCCCTGGATCCCATTTGGGCTATAGGCACGAAATATACAAAACTCCAAAACCTCGCTGCAAAAAAAATTAGAGCTCTATACCGATGCAATGCATTGTGTATCGGCTTATGTCCTCCATCACTCCAACCGCGCTGGGGTGACTGGGCGTTGCTGATCAACAATTTATGGTCACCTATTTTTATATGTGCCAACTCACTTGTACATTTTTTCTCGCTGATGCAGACATCTCCATACTCTTGTAGCACTCCGAATTTAACATGGTTTCGTGACCTTCAGCCACAAAAGTCTGACAACTGCTTGCTGCTCTTCATTGGAGAAAACGGCTAAGGGCACCATCATTTTGTATATGCTGCTCTTCCCATCAAGCATACCATACTACGTTCCCTGTGCAGGAGTTGGAAATGCCTGCAGTGTTTCTGTCATAAAATATTGTCAATTTGCTGTTGCTTTCTGAAACACACACACGATTCTCCATAATCCCGAAAGGCCATGAGAAATAAATCGCTGTGGAAGTTTTCCAGTCTTATTTGTCGATGTCGAAGAATCGTGTGGCTCAATCGTTCAATGGCAAGACCGAAACTGGGCATTTTTTATTATTTACGTTCAAAAACAAGAAAGGGTTGTCCAGGGTAATTTTACTGTTGTGAAACACAGAATTTTGTTCCTTTAATGATAGTACTTTTATTTCCTTAGTTTTTTTACTCGGCAGCATGCGAGGTTGGTCAAAAACAGAGACAAAAAGGTAGGACCCTCGAGTGGAAAATCCGACTGCATTAAGTCTAAACGCAGTAAAAATAATGCGGTACAAGACTCTAGTATTATATTCTACACCTGGTCTCTGAAACGCTGTTTTATGAATATATTTTGCTGCGTGAATGGTATCAATAAGATGAATTTCGCTTATCATTTGAATATGAAACCGAAACTTCATTTTGATTACGCCTTTAAAGCTGTGCCACAAAGGGCTTCCAGGAGTAAGATCAAAGATCCTACTGTTTTTATTTTTACACGTAAAAAAATGCTAGAATTTTTTTATGTGTAGTCATAAATTTCTGAGTGTTTTGTAAAAAAAGACAAGAGAATAATATTTAGATCTTGTTGACTATATGGTCTGGCCACATTCCGAATCTATCCCAATCACTACAAGATTCGGTCAATTATCTGAACCTTTCTGAATCTCTAGATTTGGGTCAGAATCTCGGCTCGGAAAAAAGTCTGCCCTATCGCTATGTAAAGGTCCTTCCAACATGCTTGAGGCCGAAGATGCCATCGTGTCGGCAGCGAGCGTCTTTTGTACGAGGCAGGTGAGCAGAGTGACTGGGGAGCACGCACCTGGCAGACGGTGATCCTCACGGGAATTGGGCAGGTCACGCAGTTGGTGACGGTCAAGCGTCTGCTGTGCTTCCCGCTGGCCCACGGCAGCGCGTCCCAGCGCAGCCCCCCACGCGGCTCCAGGCTGACCTGGGGCACCTCTGCGCTGGCACGCACCAGCACGCAGCACCGCCCCAGGGAGAGGCGCGACGCTTGGTCGGGCCCCGAGACGGGCGCCTCTGTCACGTCCACCTCTGCCAGCACTTCGCCGGCTTCCCTCGACAGGAAGGTGCCCTGAGGAGAGGGCCGCGCCCAGTGCAGTTGCCAGATGGTGGCCCGGTGCAACTCAATCAGTTCCAGGCCCTTCGTTCCTTATTTCCCCAGTAAAAATGTGAGCAAACATCATCACAAAAGTTTTGTTTTTGCAATAAAACACACACAACTCTAGTGTTGAAAGTGAAAAGACACAGGCAAGCTGGTGAACTAACTTCATAGTGATACAACTAAACAAACAGAAAACCACAAGCACAGTCTAAAAGATTTTGAGCCAGAATGTGCGGTTGTAAGTTTCTTTATTTGTTCTCAGTCTTGGGTTTATCCTCATAGAGCAGTGTCCCTTTAGCACTCTCTCTTTAAATGCTGGAAAAGCCCCCAAGTCTTACTCAACTTTAGGCAAGATTTCGAGGCGAGTACAGATATTGTTCTTGTGCTCTGCAACTGTTCTTCTTCGGTTAAAATAACCTTTGTGTCCCGCCTCATTCAATAACTTAACAGGCTACCTCGAGATACGTTAAATAAAAAAAACTCTCTCGGAAGGCCTTTTGCCCATAAGTCCTGCTACAAAATGCGCGGTGTCCTCCGTGGCGCCAGAAGGAATTCTAGGAACTGACTGTACGGAACCGGTTGTAGCAAATGTTGGAAGCAACGCAGGCAAGGGCGGGCACGCAACTGCGCTACCCTCTCTTTTCTGCGCTATGTGACAGAGGCTGCAGGAGCCAGGAAGAGCATACAGGATATTTCCACACCTCATTGCACGCTTTATGCGTGGCCTTCTGGGATTTTTGAAACCAGTATATCGGTTGCCCCCTGGTGCAGACAGCACACGTCTTGTGGTTCGGGTTGCCCTAGGTCACAAGTCAGCAAACTTTTAGATCTCTAGGAATAGCCGTTTTTCTGAATTGATAACACTTCCCGGTCTTGGCATTGACGCAATAAAGCGGCGCACAAGCCCTTAGTAAACAAATGATGGAAGTGACATTTGATCTTTTGTAGCAGGCTTTGTATCAGGCATACTGTTGGCTTAAAGCAGCCACTGACACTTTTGGAGCAGATGCCAACTGTTACCACGTCACTTGAAAATGAAAATTGAATTGAATCGCTCAATCAGTTAATATTTGATAATGACAGAAGGTTCCTCTTTGACACTAGAGCATATTACTTATCATCTTCCGTAGTAAGAGTGGTTAGGACGCAGAATGGACATACAGTCGTCTTTTTAGAAACAAGGCTCAGCTCTTCCGTAGTAAGAGTGGTTAGGACGCAAAATGGACATACAGTCGTCTTTTTAGAAACAAGGCTCAGCTCAAAGTAGGTCCCATTTAAAATTGAAAAATTGTTGAAAAATGAAGCATAAGCAAAAGTTCAGTTGAGATGAAGTCTCTCACCCTCCCCCTTTCCCAGCCTCTAGTTAATTTAGCCTGTAAATATCATTTCCCTTATGCCAGCAAAAACCAACATACCCACTAAAGTCTATCTTATTAAAAATACACCCTACCAAGTTTTATGAGCACCAAACTCAAGGTTCTAATGCAATAAACTGTCAAAACAATTACCCACAAATATTATGAAAACCTACTCATACATTTGTGCTTTAAAAGTGATTCTGCGTTTTAGTTTCTGCGTTTCAATCGTGCGAACCCATGTGCGCCCCAGGTCAGCCGCTGCTCCTAGCACTCCGGTGCAATGCAGTGAAGCTCGGCGAGGGCGTGCTGGTGTGAGGCGCGAAGGATGACAAAAGCTGCGCAAGTGTCACGGTACACTACAGCCACGGCATGGAGGCATGCAGCAGATATAGTATCGGGAGTAAGACACCCTGGCTCCATCTGATAGCCACCATCACGCTAGTTTCAAAAAGTTTTTTCATAACTTTTAGCTCCTGAAATCGCCAACATCGTCAGGAAATTTTCAGGAAGTTTCATAGTAATTCAAAACACAGACGACGCTACCGGCCAATGGGACCAATCAAACAGCATTAAAAGCCCGACATCATGGCATTCGTCGTCTATCTGTTTGTGATCTTTAATCAGCTAAACCTATCAAGTGCAGCAAATGTCGCAAGACTTGAGCTTTTAGTAGGTGTGTTCCTGATTGTATGTGTTTCAGTCTTCAATTGTACCTTGACATAAGATGAAACAATCTATACAAAGAAAAAAGGTGCCGTGAAATATATATTTATACTATTTTCGTTTCCTTCAACTTCTCTACATGTTAAAATCCAGCAATAATAAAATATTGTATTTTTGCTTCGTTTAGGCCCACCTCGGCACAGGCGTGGCGCCGAGGTGGGCCAAAGCGCAAAAAATGGCACAAGATGTAGCACAATTAACCTGAGACTGGGGTATGAAACAGAAACTTAAGCGTAGAAGAGAACCGGGAAGAAGAGAAGGTTTTCAGACGTTCTCTTCTTCCCTCTTTTTTGTCCCTTCTATGTTTTAGTTTGTATATCATATTCCCCGGTCTCGGGTTCAGCTGCAACATGGTAAACATCCACCAGCCCACCTGCACTCTAACTGTTTCAAAAAAAAAATGTAGCAGACTTGTTTATGGCACAAATGGTGCGGCACTTCCATCGCCGCAATAATGCACACACACGTAGCTACGCACATTGAGCGCGTTGCTACGCTTCAATGAATGGCTCACATATCCTTAAAGAAACCTTAAAGGACACATGTAAAGAAAAAAAAATGTTTTTTTTTTAAACAGCCTAGATGGAAAAAGAATGTTATAAAACAAAATTACAATGAAGGAAAAACATTTTTAGAGCTATATTTACAGCGCAAAACTACAGGTTTTCCCGCTCATTTTAATCCAAGCGACGACCAATTTAATCCCGGAGTCACTCAATTTAATCCAAGCGCCATACAATTTAATCCAAGCGCCACACATTTAATCCCGAGGTCAGTCAATTTAATCCACAATATATATATGCACTTATTGTGTTCAGTGGTCGTGTTTTGCTTACACATTTGGTAACTTAGAATAATTCTTTATACAATTAGAAATTCTGGGGAGCAATTGAGAATTTGATCACTAATGTGAATACTTTGAGTTACTAGTGCCACTATTGACGAGGCTTAATTGATAGGTTGGTTACTCTTTTTAGAGCGCAGCTCTTAGGCACCCGTTTCCGGCTTAAGCGGCGTCGCCGTCGGCTTAACCACGCGGTGAATGATGGGTAAATGTGCCCGCTAAATTTAGCGGAAAAATTTCCCCGTTATATCTAGCGGAAAACTTTCCCTGCTAAATCTAGAGAAAAATTTTCCCAGCTAGATTTAGCGAAAAATTTGCCCCGCAGAGTCTAGTGGAAAAATTTCCCTGCTAAGTCTAGCGGAAAATTTTCCCCGCTTAATCTAGCGAAACAATTTACCAGCTAGATTTAGCAGAAAAATTTCCCCGCTACTTTTGCGGGAAATTTTCCTCGCTAAATCTAGTGCAAAATTTTTCCCACTAAATTTAGCGGAAAATTTTTTCCTGCTAAATCTAGCATAAAGCTTTCCCCGCTAAATCTAGCGGAAAATTTTCCCAGCTAGATTTAGCGATAATTTGCCCCACAAAGTCTAGCGGAAAAGTTTTCCCACTATATCTATTTAAAAATTTTTACCGCTAATCCTAGCGGAAAATTTTCCCCGCTAAATCTAGCGGAAAATTTCCCAGCTAGATTTAGCGGACAATTTTCCTTGCTAAATCTAGCGTAAAATTTTTCCACTACATTTAGCCGAAAAATTTTTCCTGCTAAATCGAGCGGAAAGTTTTCCTCGCTAAATTTAGCGTCAAATTTCCCCGCTAAATCTAGCGGAAAATATTCCCCGCCATATTTAGCGGAAAATTTTCCCCGCTAAATCTAGCGGAAAATCTTTTCATCTAGATTTAGCTGAAAAATTTTCCCGCTAAATCTAGCGGAAAATTTTGTCCGCTAAATTTAGCGGGGAAAATGGTCCGCTATAATTAAGAGAAAAAATTTTCCACTAAATTTAGCGGAAAAAATTTTCCGCTAGATTTAGCAGGGAAGCTTTTCCGCTAGACTTTGCGGGGCAAATTTTCCGATAAATCTAGCTGGGAAAATTTTCCGATAAATCTAGCTGGGAAAATTTTCCGCTAGACTTAGCGGGACAAATTTTCCGCTAAATCCAGCTGGGAAGATTTTCCGCTAAATTTAGAGGGGGAAATTTTCCGCTAGCGGGAAAAATTTTCCGCTATATTTAGCGGGGAAAATTTTCCGTTAAATTTAGCGGGGAAAATGTTCCGCTAGATTTAGCAGTAAAAATTTTCCGCTAGATTTAGCGGGAAAAATTTTCTACCAGATTTAGCGGGGAAGCTTTTCCGTTCGACTTTGCGGGGCAAATTTTCCGATAAATCTAGTTGGGAAAATTTTCCGCTAACTATAGCGGGGATACTTTTCCGTTAGATTTAGCGGGAAAAATTTTCCGCTAAATTTAGCGGGGAAAATGTTCTGCTAGATTTATCAGGGAAAATTTTCCGCTAGACTTAGCGGGGAAATTTTCCGCTAAATTTACCGGGGGAATTTGCCCACCATGCACCGCGTGGTTACGCCGACGGCGTCGGCGACGTCGCTTAATTCGGAAACAGGTGCCTAAGACCTGCACTGTAAAAAGAGTAACCAACATATCAATTAAGCCTCGTCAATACTGGCACTAGTAACTCAAAGTTATCACATTAGTGAACAAATTCTCAATTGCCCCCCAAAAAGTCTAATTGTATAAAGAATTATTCTAAGTTACCAAATGTGTAAGCGAAACACGACCACTGAGCACAATAAGTGCATATATATATATTGTGGATTAAATAGACTGACCGCGGGAATAAATTCTGTGGCGCTTGGATTAAATTGTATGGCGCTTGGATTAAATTGGTCGTCGCTTGGATTAAAATGAGCGGGAAAACCTGTAGTTTGTAGTTGGCACCCACCGGAGCCGTCGCGGGTCATGTGGTAGACCCATGCACCATCGCGCGGCGCTGCTACCGCCTCAAAGTCCCGCCGCCGCCGTGCAAGTTCGTCCTGGCAGAGGCCTATCACGTCTGCTTGCGCTTTTTCAGGAGCTTCCTTTGGGCTCTAAAAGTTACTTATTAATCTTCGTTCTTCGTTGCACTTGCAATAAATATGAATAAGCAACTTTTAGAGGCGATAGGGAGCTTCCGAAAGAGCGCAAGTACTACGTGACAAATAGCGGCCAGTCATGTGACAAATAGCAGCCACTTTTCGCGGCGTAAATCTAGCTCTAAAAATTTTTATTTTTCGTTGTAAATTCGTTTTACGACTTCCTTTTCCCAACCAGGCTGTTTAAAAAAAAAATTTATTTTTTCTTCGCACGTGTCTTTTAATTGTTAGAACACTTTACTTAGAAACAGGAGCGGCCGATGAACCTTGGGAGTTTGAGGAATTCCCGAGAGTGGTCTGGGAACCCAGTTTGAGGACGCTGGGGAAACCTCTCTCGTAGAGTGGCAGAAGGGTTCCAGACCGGGGCATGCAAGGAGCACAGTCTCGAGCGGAGGCAAAGGTCCTCACCTGGACCTCCGTTGTGCGTCCACCTTCGAGCGTCACGGGGGACGGCAGGTCGACGCGCACGGCGGATTGCTCCGCATCGGCCACCGAGCGGGCCGAGTGGCCCAGGTTGCAGCGCACCGCCGCCGCAGACAGGTTCACCAGCGTAAGCACCAGCGGTACGGGCACGCCAACGCACACGTGCCCCAGGGACACCTCTGGACGCTGCAGCGGGCCCCCGATCACCGCCACTGGAACGCCGTCACACGCAGATGCTCACGAGCACTTGCCACCGCAGAGTTTGTCTATGCTTCGTCTCACCTTACGTTTGGAAAGGGCCAATGCTACCGGCTGATGGGACAAATCAAACGGTACCCCACTGGGCCTTTCCTGTACACGATTGGTTCGGCAATAATAGAACACTTGTGAAACGTGATGAGCGCCTTGCTAATGCGCTTTGACGCCATACGACTGGTCCCATCGGCACGTAGTGTCGGCTGCGTCCAGATTAGGACAAGAAAATTAGACAAGTACATAGATTATTTTTGAAATGGAATGCTGATAGGCTACTTACCACTTATCGTAATCTTCCGAAAAGAATGCACACCCAAAATGAAGAGATAAATGGTGAAAAAAAGAGGCCGCATCTCCACATGGTGAATAATGTTGATTGGGGCGAAGCTCTGGTGGTGCCGATGGTGCTGATTTTTTTTTATTGCTCATAGGTAGTGCTGAGTTAAGGGTTGCGTTTCGACTTCATTATTACTGCTTTACGGTCAGTGAAATGCAGAGCCAGTGGCTCTTCTAGCGGATCAGCTTGGATCCGCTAGAAGCCGTGGGAATGCATCTCCACCGCTTAAGTCAACGGTCCACGTCAGGAAGAGAATGTGTGGTAAGGAATGTGGTTATATACGCATTTGAGAATTTGACCGCAGCGCCCTCTCGTCTATAAACGTTGAGCCAATGCATGCAAAGTTTAATGCGATTGTATACGAATTTGACCGCAGCGCCCTCTCCTGCATAGACGTTGAGCGGCTACATGCAACGTTGGAGTGTAGCATACTGTTTACGACGTCTGCCTCGTAAGCAAGCGGTCCCGAGTTCGAACCCCCGTATGGGCATACATTTCTTTTTTTTTAAAAGTGGGCCGATCCCGGAGGCAGTGCAATCGATGTGAGCACGGACGCCGGACGGATGGACAAGGCTAGACCCTAAAGAGCTTTGCCCCTAGAATAGGGTCGGCTATCTTCGCAGTGATGGAAGCGGCATTTCACCCTTTGGAGCAGGTGCTGTAGCAGGCAAAATACTCGTTTTGAGCAGCCACTGACACTTTTGGGGCAGATGCCAATGTCTGTTAGCATATCACTTGAAAAAAAAAAATTATTGCTTCGCTAAATGAGTTTATATTTGATAATGAGTGAAGGTTTATCTTTGATACTGGGGCATATTACTTATTACCTTTTCTAATAAGAAGCAATAGGGGAAAAAAGGAAAGGTACATAGAGCTTTCTTTTTAGAAATAAGGCTTTGTTCAGACTAGGTTCCACTAACAATGAACACCAATCAAATTCATGAGAAATGAATCACACTTCAGTTAAAATAAAGTTGCCCTCCCCTCCCACTTTTACACCCGGTAGTTTATTTAGCCTGTATGTACTGTTTCTGTAAAATGCCACCAAAAACCCGCTAACACGTCTTCCAGTAAAAATGCACCTCCCAAATTTGATCGTTATCAAACTCAAAACATGAATGTTATAAATTAAAAAAACAAAACAAAACAAAAAAAAAAACATTTACAAATATTATAAAAACCTACTCTTGCGCTTACACTTATTAAAATAAAGCATTGCATATATTTTTTTTTTCTTTCTTGACACAGCACTTGAAAACGAGATCATGTGATCGAGACCAAAGAATGTGGACCTGTAATAGTACTGAGCACAATTTACATGTATATCGTGCTAAACCAGACGCCCACCCATGGCAGCAGCTACTCCAAACGCTCCGGTGCAAGGCGGTGAAGCTCGACGCGCGTGGGCTCGTGAGAGGTGCCATGGAGGCATACGGCAGACGTAATAATCAACTGATCTCATCAGGAATACAGAAGCCTGGTTCTGTCTTATCGCAGTATTCTACTGTGCATTTTGCTATGTTTTGTCGCGACTTTTGGCTCCTGACATCGCCGACATTGTCTGAAATTTTAGAGGATGTCGGTGATCAAGTTGTTAGCGCATTAACTGGCCAACACAGTGGCCGAGCAATCTTAAAACTTTGTTTCACCTTAATTTAAAGCGCAGCCGACTCTACGAGCCAATGGGATTAACCAAACAAGGTCAAAGCGCGACATCGAGGCATCCGACCATCTTACAGTATGTGTTCTTTCATCAATTAAACCAATCAAACGCAGTGGATGTCCCGTGACTTGCACTTTTACTGTGTGTTTGTGTTGTATATGTTCGAGCATTTGACTGCGGTCTGACCTTAGATGAAACATTGTATACGGTGACTAGAGACGCTCTGAACTGCATATTTCTACCGTTTTTCTTTCTTTCAACTTCTTTGAATATTAAAATCAACCAATAAAAAAATATATCAATTATTTTTGCCCATCTCGGCGCAGGTGTGGCGCAATTCTTAGCCAAAATGACACTTTGGCGCAAGTTGTAGCAGACTTTCGCTCCAGGTGCAATTTGGTGCAAATGGTGCAGCACTTCCTTCACTGTCTTTGGGGATGTCAGAGTAAAACTTTATCAAAAATGAATAATTAACACCCTGGCACCGGCTACGAACCACGTGACGTGGGAACTGATACCACAGATTGCAGACACCGCAAACTTGCATTTCACGATGCAATAAACACAGGGGAATTCGCTACAAACTTCTGTGTCAAGGGAAAGGATAATGCAGGTTGCAGATGCAGCAGATTTGCATTTCACGGTGCGAAGGACCCGCGGAAACCCGCAGAGAGCTCGAGGTAAGCTCGAGGTGGCGAGAGAGCCAAGTCTGCGAGTGCGTGGAAGGGGACGCTGCGCATTGGGCAGGCGACGTCACCAACCCAACAACCACGGCAGCATTTTCGAATCGGGCGGATCCAAGGGTCCCGCATATGAATTGATATATCGACGAAACTACCACACAATTTTCAAAACCAATTGAGCAGAAATATAGAAACAAATAACGGGTCCTAGCAGGGTGGTTTCATTTGAAATCGAACACGCTTGTCGGGGTGGGTCTTTAGATTTTTATTTACAAAATATATGTAATTTCCCCACTTCTGGAAAGAACAAAACCACTTTTCAAAATTTTTTAACAAAGTATTTTGCTTCACAAAAAAATATTGAGTGCAGCAGGGTGAAATGCTGTTTTTTACTGCGTGATTTTTCTAACCAGTTCTGTGCGCTGGTATGAATACAAAAAGCATACAAAACCCACAGTAATTTTTTGTGCTCTTGAATGTTACTTCGACTATTTTTTAGTTTAAAAGAAAATACTTTTGTATTTTTGTTTATTGAGGTAAAAAATGCCAAACATCGTCTCTTTGGCAATCTGGTGACATCTTCAAAGCCTTGTAACTCATGAGTTATTATATTTGTCGCTCACCAAATACTATGCGGGTGTAGTCCTATATATGGGCTATCGACGGGCATAAGTTTAATTTATTTTCACGGAATATTTTATATACAATTTGAAATATTGTTGAAAATGAGATTAACCGATATTTTGAACCCACTTTATCGAAAAAGGCTATTTTGTATTTCGTTCAATTTTTTTATTATTGCTGCCGATCATATGAACTTTCAATTGGCTTCATGCGGTATCTTCTCTAGAGGTGATCTAAATCGCTCCCACTTTCTTGGAACGGCCAAACGCAGTTTCCGCAGGTCGGCTTCACTGCAAAGACTATACTACTTATTTTTGTGTTCAAATGCAGCGGGTAAATTCATTTTGATTCAGAACACTCGTGCTTGGCTACATATTGTATTTTCTTAATTTTGTAATGATGGCGATTGACATTCCTTAGTCCGATCGTTAGCGGTGCGGCGGACGTTCTATTATCCAATGTCTAAAGCCAGGGCACAAAGGACGGAGAAAATGGAACAAGCACTTCAATGTAGGCAGACCGGGGTCATATATCTATTTGTCTTATACACAGGTTGTAAGGCTTGAAGCACCTCGCCACAGTATACAATTTTCGATCGCAGGACGGCTCCTAGATACAGACGTCAAAGGGACTTCGTTGAAGAAAAAAATTAAAACAATGACAAGCGTTGTGCTTTTCGACTTACCGGAGAAAGAAATCAATATATTCAGGAAGCTCAAAAAAGAAGAATGGGCCTCAGTAGGTGCTCGCACAGGATTACGCTCCTCACATGTGTGGTGCACAGTTCGCGAGCCAGGCCACGAACCTAAGGTGACATCAGCATGAGACGTACAGTCTCTGGCAATATGAAAGACATATTCGCCGATGCTGTTTATGCAGCGGCGCAAGTCCGCCTTGGCCAGACGCGCTTTATTTTGAAGGAGAAAATAGAACGAACCTGTATATATTCCCAAGCCAAAGCAATGTGTAGCTAGCCCGAGCAAATCTAACAAATCCACCTAAAATAAAATCGTCAAATCGCTTTTCCATATTCCCGAAGGCTGTACAATCTTTCCATTAAGCTCGGTGTGACAAAGTGGAGAAAATAAAAGTAAGTGACTTCTTTCGCTGCCTTCTGTGCATGTGGGAATCATTGTTTCTTGGCATTCAGAGATATCGATCAGTCTTGAACAAAACCCAACACTTCTATTTTTGACTGTACACGCTTGCTCAAACAGAAGGGCCACTGTCTTGGGTTCACCACTCGCTCTCTTGCTTTGGCTCCAGCTTTCGTTCTGTACATCTCGACTTACCACGCTGTTGAACTTCTTGGCTGCATCCGACCGCTGCGGTACAAAGTTCAGCTTGCCCCCGCGCTCGATCTTCTCCGCAGAGGCAAGCCGATGCCGTTGTCAAAAAGTTACAATATTGTGTTGCTCGTGAACTGGAGTATTTAAAGCACAGCAACATATTGTTTTACAAGTGCATCCTAAATATATTAGTGTTAATTAATAAAAGAGACTATTTATCGCCAATTGGTGCTTGTGTTCTGTAAAAAATTGTCCTCGCTTCATGTAAACTCGGTCCGTTTTCCCCACTTTTTTTTTTTGTAAACTGCTTTTCCTTCTTAAAGAGGGGCATGTGATATTACATATTTTTGATATAGTACACACTGACAATAAAGAACAGGCAATTACATGGTTATTTGATCGCACGCGACAAGACGCATCATGGATTGGCGCCCGCGCCGGACGCTTCCTGGGTGTAACGGAGATGGGTTTATAGCACGAAAGGCCGGGCGTGCTGTACATGCCTTACAAGCTGTGTATAGCACAAACAGATATATGACCCCAGTCTGGCTACATGAAGAGCCTGTTCCGTTTTCTCTGCCCTTTGTGCCCTGGCTTTAGACATTGGATAATAGAACATCCACTGCACTGCTAACGATTGGACTAAGGAATGTCAGTTGCCATCATTACAAAATTAAGTAAGTACAATATGTAGTCAAGGACGAGTGTTCCGAATCAAAATGAATTTACCCGCTGCCTTTGAACACGAAAATAAGTAGTATAGTCTTAGCAGCGAAGCCAACCTGCGGAAACTGCGTTTGGCCGTTCCGAGACAGTGGGAGCGATTTCGATCACTTCTAGAGAAGATACAACATAAAAAGGGGGAAATCGCATCAAGCCAATTGAAAGTTTATTCGCGACTCCAGCGACCTATAGGGGGCGCCACCACGAAACAAACATGGCGGCTGAGTCCAGGTCGCGTCGGCTCGGCCGGGCCGCCTGAATGGGTGGCGCATTCAATTTAACAATTATTCTTTTGTTGAATGCCCAATTTTATGGGTATTTGAACTGAGACAGTTAAGTTTAGCCGGTGCGCATAAACTTGCCGAGCATAGTTTTGTTTTGCCGGAGTTTTTTGTTCTTTTCATGTCAAACTTTAGCTGTGGAGACTTCGATCAAAACCGAAACTATGGGCTCCGGAGAAACGGTAATAGACTCTAATTAGTTTTGATCATCTAAGGAAAGCGGCGAGGGCTACAAAATTGTTCCACCAAGAGTAATTTTTAGCTAACTCGCATGCCTCGATCATGCGACTTACCTGTCCGCGAAATTGAGCTTTTGTGCCTGTCCGCGTTTCAAGATACAGCTGCGGTCGTATGCTCGGTCAAGAACACAGGCTGCAGGAAAATTACGAAAATTAAGCAAGCGCTTCTTGAGCCAAGGAGCATGTCAAATCGCTGGCACTTCACTAAGCGGCTGATACTCGTATTTCAATTCAGGCTTTAGTAGCAATCGAGAAGTCATTTTGATGAATATGCGGTTCTGTATTATATTACCGTACTATGGTCCCACTAAAGCGATATTAGTATGTTCTTCGGGTTGAAATATGAACTTAGTTGACTAACTATTAGGGTGAACTGCTGAATAAAAGTATATTTGACAGACAGAGAGATACTACTTAAACTTAGCCAAATGGTTCTAGCCGGTAGAACGGAGACGAATGCGGACAAGCTGAGGAGAGTCTTCATCGGAGATTCACTCAGACCTCTCTGCATTGAACTTGACTTCGAATCCTAAACAAATAAAATTAGTATTTTTTTTTTTTTTTTTTGTGGCCGGTCAACTTAAGCAGTGTAGACGGATATTGCTGCTGGATTCGACAGGGGTTATAAGTATTGGAGGCGCGATAGATCCTAATGACGTTACAGCTTCTACCTTTGCGAGACGCGTCCCCCACCTTTTGAAAGCAGATAATTTCCCTCATTAATCATATGCAGCGAGCAGGTTTTCTGAATCAAGTAATTGCGAAATTAGCCCAACTCCTTCAATGTGATCTTTTTCGGCGAAAAGCCGCCAAGATGAATAGCCAACGCACCGGCCGGCGTTAGTGGCTCAAATTAACCTGAAGCTAATCGAGGACAACTAAACTCAAGGAAAGCAGCTATCGAACCTTCCCATTCACTTGACTGCAACATTGGTGTCCCCTCCAGTGAAACACTTCGTCTGTCGACCTCAGTCTACTGTTCTACATCCTTATAAAGAAACCGCTTATCAGTTACCAAGCAGTCGTCACTTTGATTGTGATTAGAGACAGACGAGAAATCAAAACGTTTTTCCGTGATTCCTCCCCATCCAAAAAATTGAAAGCACGCGATCGTGTGTTGTGGAATAAACGGGCTTTCAAACACGTGATAGAAAGAAACAATCTACTGAGACTTCACCACACTAATGAACACTCGGGCAAACTTAAGAAATTTTCGGACCTTCGTCAAATTACATTGCTCGCCGCCGCGCCGACAGCACGCGTCCGCGAAAGCCATCAGGGACGCGGTGGGGCGCGGAGCGACCTGGACCGGCTGGTTCCCAGTTTTCCCGCTTGGCGGCGTCCGTTTTGCTGGAGTCGCGAATATGATCGGCAGCAATAATAAAAAAAATTGAATGAAACAAAAAATGGCCTTTTTTGATAAAGTGAGTTATATCGGTTCATCTCATTTTTGACGATACAGTATTTCCAATTTTATATAAACAATTCCGTGAAAATAAAATAAATTAAACGTATGCCCGTCGATAGCCCATGTGTAGGACTACACCCACATAGTATTTGGTAAGCGACAAATATGGTAACTCATGAGTTACAAGGCTCTGAAGATGCCGCCGAATCGTCAAAGAGACGTTTTATATTTTTTATCTCAATAAACAAAAATGCAAAAGTACTTTTCTTTGAACTAAAAAATAATCAAAATAACATAGAAGCGCGCAAAAAATAACTGAGTTTTGTATGGCTTTCCGTATTCATACCAGCGTACAGAACTGGGTAGAAAAATCCAGAAGAAAAAAACAGATTTTCACACTGCTCCACTTAATATTTTTTAGTGAAGCAAAATATTTTTTTTTTAAAGTTTTGAAAAGCAGTTTTGTTCTTTGCAGAAAAGGGGCAAGCACATATATATATTTTTTAAAAAGTCGGAAGACCCACCTTGACAAGCGTGTTCGATTTCAAATGAAACCACCCAGCAATATGGTTATCTAATTTTTATTTTTGGCGTGTCCTTAACCCCTGGGTGAAACAAAGTATAAAGGATAAGGTTCGCCAATCTTCCCATGCAATTCGGCCACCTCAGAACCGTAGAGCCCGAAGTCGGTGGGCCCTGACCGCCGGCGAGGTTTGAAGAAATGCGAACCAGCGGCGAAGTATCGTTGGCGAGGTCAATACCTAGCCTTTATCGGCTTTAACGCGCAATAAAGAACCAATGTTGAGCATGCCCGAAAAGAAACTATAGTTGACAAGCATTCAAACAACCTCCATGCGTCGTGGCAATATGAATGCACCTGATGCGTCACCTTTTAATGGGAAAGCATTAACTGGTTCCATTGAGTGAGCCGACATCATCGGCTTTGAAGCAGCGCCAAACGGAACCTAAACTCCTTTCTCCAAGTGAAGCCGACTCCCAGCTTTGAAACCATGCGAAAAGCCTAGCCGAATGGCCCCTAGTTTCCTCGATCCCAAAGGAGCGGAGTGAAGCTGATGGATTTCAGCTTCGGTCCCATTGGCTGGCACGCATCATAGTTTCAAGGAACAAGGCTCCCATTGGCCGCTGTGTGTCAGTTTCAATGACTGCCACCTCATGGCACTGCGTGTCCGCGCCGTCAGCACGCCAGTAACACAAAGCGTCCAAGGTCAGAGCGGCGAGAAGAGAGCGCGCTCTGCCGTCGACGCAAATACGCCGCATACAAAATAAGAGAGAGGAAGAATGACATGCATGCTTTCGCATTCACAACTCATAAGTGCTTAGGTGTTCCTCGGTCCTCTCTTCTTCCTGTTTTACGTTGCTGTGTTTCTCGTTCTGGCTCTGGGACCAATCAGTGTTAGTGTTTACAATGTGGCGTGCTTCACGCCCGTCTCTATCCCCGTCCGCGACGGCGTCCGTCGTATTTTTGCAACAAAGCTGTTAGGAAGCTTACGGGGCTCTTGGTTTGTTAAAGAGACGCCGAGGACAATTGCGAGACCACTTTCCTAATGGTGGTGCTTCTCACTTTATTTAGGTGTCTCTCAACTTTGTTCCTTTACAAAAGTTTTAAAAGAAATATTTCTTCCCCAAAGAAAGCGATTGAAAAATGAAACACCAGCCACCGGAACCCAAAAGGCTGCCAAGAACTGGGCGTGACAATCCGGTAAAACCTGGAGATTGAAACGTCGCATCTGATGCCTCTCGCCTTCAAAAACAAACGCCTTCCACTACCGAGACGGTACCGCCAGTACAGTCGGTTCGGAGACTCGCTATGTCTACTTACCTGCCAGACTTGCAGGGATAAAAAAAGTTACGTTAGACTAGAGTTTACGAACACTCTGCGTTTTCAATGACTTCACCCGACACCGTTTTTCCGCACCAACGTTTTCGAACTAAACCCAAGGTTTTAGGAACCCTAGAGTTCTGTATGCGAGCCTCCAGCAAACCAGGGCTGCGCAAATGCCGAACAAAACTTGAGAGAAGCTTACGCCGTGGCAGGGACTCCTGGGATCTCCTGGAACCGGATGGCGTCACTTGCCCGTAGTAGCCAGATGAAAGCGCCGAGCAACGGGCGCTGCCGGCGTCGTCGTCGAACAGCTCCGAGCTCGACGAGGCCGCCCCCTTTGAAACGACCTCGACGTCGAGACGACCGCATTCGGCGGTGGGTCTGCCACCTTCTGCGCATCCGCCGCCAAACCTTCGAGGTGGACGGATCGGTGCGGCAGAGTCCGTTAGCACTACGGAGGGCGCAGGGTCCGCATGCCGCGAGCCCTTGCCGGCCGACGCAGGTTCCGAAGGCGCCTCTTCGGCTTCCGCGCGGCCGTCCCTCGAAGCGGCGGCCTTCTTGGAGCGGGGTGCGGCCGTGAGCGGCTGCTTGAAGGTGGCGTCGCCAGAGAACTTGCTCTGCTCCTGCAGGTCCGCTCTGGGGGGAGGCTTCTGGCTGCGTGTCGCATGGATGAACTTGCGCACCATCGCGGAGGGACTCTCGCTAATGGAAATGTCTTCGAGGACGTGGTAGATGGCGGAAGTGGACGGGCCCTGCACGCTGCCGTCCGGAACCGCCACCCGAGACGTACCTTTTTTTGGGGAGGGGCAAAGCGGAGCGAGGAAGCTCAAATCCCCACAGCCCCATCGATGAAGGCGGAGGATGCAAGCGCGAGACGAAACAGGTCGTTTTTACGCAACCAGGGCAAACCTCGAACACTTTTTGCTACAAATAACTTTAGGCTCGCACCTTCACAAACGAGATGGTAAACTTTATAAGGGAAGAAATGGGGCATGCGGAAAATGATGCACCATTCTCTTGTCCTCGCAGACTTGATTTATCTAACTCACTATAACCCATTACATCCGCCATGTCCGTTACTGCGTCCATTAGTTTACCAGCTTTTACCCCAACACGTGAATCACGCACATTTATGCGTGCAGAGTATGGCCTATTCACATCGTACTACTGTCCCAACAGATTTACAAAAACGAGCTAAACTCGGCGTGTCACAACGGGACAAGTTCCACCTAGTAAAAAGATTTACCGATTTCGCTGTTGCATATTTTGGGGCTTTGTAATTTCTTGAAAAGTAGAACTAGTGTCACTATATTGTCATGCTATTGTAGCCTACTGCCATCCAAAGTACCTATCATCATTCTATTGTAACGGATCCAGTACTTTACACTTCCTCCTTTTACTTCTCGAGCAGGGGAAGTGAGGGGTGGTGAGCAGATTACTCCTCCAGAGGAACAAAAGACGGAAACGACAGCTACTCAGGAGATGAGCTGACACCAGACGAAGACGCACTCCAGGCAGCCAGCGGCATGCTTTGGGCATGCGTGGCAGAGAAGCGGACAGCCCGGAGGCCCCTTACTCAAACCCAGCTCCTGTACAGCCATCTCTTCCAGGGACTGGGCCGTGAAGGTCTCGAAGCCAGGCTCCGCCGTTGCCGGCACAACCATGGCGTCGGACTGCGTAGGACAAACAGAGGAGCCGCATCCTTTACTCTGATTTCCGTCTCTCCCTTGGCTGTCACCTAACCCACGTGTTAACGCCAATTAAGTGAAACAAACGTAAAGCTAGAAATGACGACATGTTCACCCAAGCCGTTCTTCTTGCAAGTATGGCAGTATACGTCGACTTTCTGTTCTTCATATATAGAACAAATCATTGTTTGGTAGAAACTATTTTTGCTTGGTTTTGGACATACATTAAACACCTTCGAGATGCAGTACGCTTGCATACATGTTTTAGGAAATACTCAAGTAGGCCACATTAATAACAAATCCACTTCCCCAGAAGAAAAAAAAAAATACTCCAATATTTTATTTATGAGGCACATTGAGCATGGAGCGACTTTGTTTGCTCGCGCAAGCTGGATCAAAAGTAGCTCTTACTAGGCCGATACCAGACTACTGCAACTTCAAAATAAAACTCACTTTGTTAGCCTCCAATTGGCTCGAAGCAGCATGAGTGAGAGAGCCGGCCACCTCCCACTTCTTCTCTGTGCCTTTCTCCTCTACTGCACACTGCGAAACAAAGCTCGAGAATCAAAAAAAGAGGAAGATTTGCCCCCCTGCTCTATCTGCGGCTCCCTCTAAATTGCGTCTTGCGACATAGTAAATACTGTGGAGCAGATGCCAACATATGCTGGCATGTCACTCGAAAATAAATTAAATGCAGTCGATATTGAACCATATTACTTTTTGCAAAAAGACGAGCATAAAAAAAAGAGTAGCGAATTGCTGGGCAATTGTGTTGCACGTAAAACGTGTGGCATCTATGCTCTCAGCGCACTTCATCGATTAGTTCCCACTTGGGTCCCCCTCTCCAGTGCTTTTACGAGCAACCCTCGAGTTCGCAATGACTATGCAGAGTGGCGTCGGCCGACGCGTGGACAGCACTAAGGTCACTAGATCCTGGAAAAGTAGCGCCATTGCCTTTCCTGCCTGGTAGCCAAACACAGATACTAGCACACAAACCCCCAAAACCTCGCAAGGGGCTGTTCGGTTTCCGTTGTCGTGGAACTCGCCACTTCGGTGCTTTCAAACCATTGAAGGGGTCGTCCCCAACCAGTTGCGCCAAGATATTGTTCTTTACGCAGAATCCGAGAGAGAAAAATGATTTTTGAATGATCCTAAGCATCAACGCTGCGTGTGGTGTCGGTGCAAAAATGTGCGCTCGTTTCGCCGGCGTGTAAATAGCAAAAGTCTGGGTTGACGAGAGAGCAATGTGCCACTGCATCCTTGAACTCTGCATTCATCAAGAATGCAGAGGTCAAGGAAAAACCGCTCATTCCACACACCAAAATGTCGACCATACGAGGAGCTTGGTGCCACTTTTCCAAGACGCAGCGACTTTAGATGGCACGGGACGCCAAGGTCGGAGAAACGTGCTGTGCGGCGAGGTGCAACGCCAAGCAGGTGGGCACTCACAGGGAGCCCCTCGATGGGCGCGGAGCACGCCTTGAAGTAGCTGGAGATGGACACCCTCTCCTGGGCATTGGGCAGCCAGGACGGGCGCGTCACGTCCTGCTTCCAAGGCTGCCCTTCCAGGCTCTCCTCCGACGCCTCTTCCGCTGTCTGCGCAGGCCCACGGTCTCGCTCGGAACCCGGAACTACCAGGAACGTGTCTTTGACTCGCGCGTTAAAGGCAAAATATTGATGGTCACCAATTTTCAAAACATTTTCTCCATGCTCTAAATAGCCATTCCTGAGTGTCTACCAAATATCTAATCAAAACACGCATTTTCTTGAGAGAAAATGAATTTCGAAGTTTACACACACACCTGCAAATCACTGGCCGCTGCTCTACTGGCAACAACGAGCGGCAGCGGCACTGGGATAACTGCGACGTGAAACGTTGTATCCAAGGGCAGATACTCCCTCCTCTATGGCGGCGAAGCGGTAGTGACTGTTTATGGTTTTACGGATTGTGTCTGGTTTAGGCTATTTGCGGCGCGCGATGAAGGCAATCCGTGCTATGCTGTGGAGTGCAATAACAGCACGAATAAATACGGCAAAGTGACATCTCGTCGATTTCCGATGAAGAAGACTCTGTAAAGGAAGTGGGTTCGAGCAGTCCAACGCCAACGCTGGCTACCGGCATCCGCGTTGCACTATAGTCAGTTACAGGTTAAGAAGGTAGCGGCAAATGCCCCTCAAAGGGAATCGGATATCCCTCCGCCACCTCCGCATCCAATAGCATCCCACCGTTTCCGTGACGTCGTGGCCAGCGCGCGAGGAGGGTCTTGCCTTTCTGTACATATTTGCTTTATCTTTCGACTTTGACTTAGCATTGTGGAAGGCACGAGAGGGAGATTAGAGTTCTCCCCCACCGACGGAAACAAATACGCCTTTCGGGGATTAGCTTCCCCCCCGATGGATACAAAGGCTGCTTTCAGGGGCTCGGTTTCAACTCCGATGAATACAAAGATCGCTTTCTTAAAAAGTGGGATTGGAGACAAGTGGGAATCCATTGAAGCGGAACACGGAGCGTTTCCAGTGAACTCTTCTTTCGACTGCGGAGAGATTTGAAACGGGCGCATCACACTTGTGGGAGGAGCTTCTCCTACCTTCTTGACTTGTAACCGACTATAGCAAGCAAAACCTTCCATACCACCCTGCTTCTGAAGCGGCATCTGGGTCCACGTGTTGGCGGATCGCGAATGCAGCCGCCAAGGGCTTTTCCCTCGGAGGCGACGGCAGCGGATCTAATGCAAACGGCGAGTCCTCCGAAATCTCGTCGATCTCGCCCTGAGTCTTCAAAAGTTTGCCAGTCATTGCTCGACTTGAACAAACACAATGAATAGTAGCCCATTGGTTACCACAAATGAACGCGATGGCCTTCTGACTACTTCAGATGCCGGGCGAAAATGGCTCAGGCTGCCCATGTGCTATATAACATCTGACATCACTACAAGATGGCGGACCAGTAAAGCTGCAGGTTAGTTTCGGCTTTATCGTATTTATGCGATTAAAAATTATGTGCATTCTTTCAGAAAATGTTTAGTTGAAAACGTGCATATTGACGCATTTAACCTAGAAGAAGCTGAAGTGTCACACCAAGATTCTAAGCAGGTGAATGGTTGGCGTCTCTGTGCAGTCCACGTCATTTTCTGAGACCCTTCATGCTCTGCAGGGTCTGTTTACAAAAAAGCCGATCCGCACTTGAGAAGATACTGCAGCTAGCATTGCTGGAGTCCGTTTTGGCAAAAACTTGTTCCTGTTGCATTCTATAGCCACACTGCACATAACCAAACTAACGCAAGATATTAGGAGCTACGCTACTTCCCTGAGAGAATACTACTAGTACGTATTACTTTTGGCCAAGCCAGAAAATACGCGAGTGTCTCCACAATTGCTACAAATGTGTAGCTTGTGGAAGGCACGCAGCTCGCACAAGAAACAACGAACAGAGAAACACGTTTTTCCCCGAGGTCGTCGAGAGATAGCCTGTTTTGTCATTAATTTATGTTCCCCGCTGAATTGAAAAATTAATCCACTAAGCATCTGAATTGTTTGGCATGTGTCATAAAATGGTGGTCCTATATCCAGAAAAAAACTTTGTTCTCAAACCATTCCCAGAAATGCTAGACATTGCAGGCTATATTTCTCTCGGGCACATTTTCCCCGCCAGCCTAGCTTCATCGTGCTAAACTGCATCAACCCCCAATGCTAATACATCCGACTGTGCCGCAAACTGCATCTCACAAACAGTACTGCCAGGAACTTGCAAAAATTGCAAGTAAAGCTGGCTTGCAAGGCGAAAAAGACAGCATTTTAGGTGACTTAGACACAAAGGAATCACACTGCTACCATTTCCAAACATAGTATAGATTATGGTCAGGAACAAAGTCACCCCACTTGCCTGAAATTCTCCACCCAGCTTTTTCAACATTGAGGCTGAGGTTTCTGAGGAAAGGTAGAAGAAAAATGCCATCTTTTAATCTGGTGCACCTCTGCCTGCGAGACAGATACAAAGATGAGGCTAAACAGGTATACGTATTTAGTTATTAATAATCTTAGATTATCAATAATACATAATACTGTCGACACCAGTTATAACGAAGTCAATGGGAATCGGAAATCACTACGCTATATCCACTATTTCGTTATAACCGACTTTGATTCTAACGAAGTGCAAAAGAGAATGGGAAATCGTGATTGCTTCACTGTAGCCGTTATTCCGTTATAACCAACTTCATTAACACCGGTCTCAAGAGTAGTGCAATCATAGTAATTATTAATACATAACAAAACTTGTTTAAAGCTTGATGGCTATCTTCAGCATAATGTGAGCCGTGACACAAGACAGAAGCATGAGGGTTTAGTTGCAGGAAAGATGTCTTGAAATATTCCTTTTTTCTGCGTACCGTCTGCATGTGGAACAAGTTATCCTGCAGCGCGACGAGTATTCTCTTTTTTGCTACATTTCCTAGTGCAGTTGATTAACTTCTCTTCGTTAGAAGTGACTCCACAGACTAACCCATTAACTTTTTTTTACTGAATACTTATGCCTATTTATTTGCTTTCCTGACTTTTCTTCATTGTTCTGCCTACATCATGCCTTGGCCTTCAAAAGTTGGCCGGCAGTACCTTCAAAATAAATGTACGAACAGAATATACAGGGTGTCCCCTCCAAAAATTTACATTGTTATATTTACCCCAAAAATAAATTATACATCACCGAACGGTCATCTTTTGCCCCCATGTAGCCCTACCGGTCCCAACTAGAACCACTGAATGTTCCCAGAGTACAGAAACTCCCAGCCTTGAGGCACCAAGATGGCCGCTCAATCTTTTAATGCGAAAGCATTAACTGTCCCGTAGAGCACAGCCCAGCGTTGTCCGTAACCGCGAAAAACGGCACCAAGTCCCATTGGCAGAGTGTAACGGCACCTAAATGCAAGTTATCAAGCATGTGCATTCAGAAATAAAACACAAAGAAAAGCACAGCAACGCAGATGCTTTGTTACGGAAGCCAACAGGAGTGCTCAAGGTCAAAGCGGACGCGCCTCAGAAATAAAACACAAAGAAAAGCACAGCAACGCAGATGCTTCGTGACGGAAGCCAACAGGGGCGCTCAACATCAAAGCAGACGCGCCTCAGAAATAAAACACAAAGAAAAGCACAGCAATGCAGATGCATTGTCACAGAAGGCGTGGAGCCGGCGAGGTTCGCCGCGCCTGCACAGTGGAGGAGCGCAATGTCACCGCCGGAGCGCCATGAGCGATAAGAAGACGTGGCACGCTGCTTGTAGGAATGCTTTTGCATTCCTACATGTAAGCGATTTTAAATCTCTCTGCTGATTTTGTTTTTTTTACTGTTGTCTTTATGAGTATATAGGAAGCATGTTTTTGCATAAAAACAAATGGGAAAAGTTCTTTTTGTAGGAACGTTTATAGGAGATTAGTGCAGAACGACAGGAGCGTGACATTTTCATAAAATTTTAGTTTACAAAGAAGGCTCTGCGGCACAATTAATATTGTTTTGACTCAACCATGTTTCACCGGCGATTTCAGGAAGCACGTTCCGACCTGGGCGCGTCCTAAATTTGGTGGTAATGCACTGCGCGTCCACTTGAGAGATGGGGGTTGTCAGACGTGAAACCCCTTCCACCATATAAGTTTTGGTGCCGAAATGGCCGAACAAAGCCAAATTAAACGGCAACAGCGGATGCTATCGAATGCGACACTCTGGCAACATAGAGTGACTCTAGCTCGAACCAGATGCCGAAGTTTTAGAACTAACCATTTTATTCAAAAAGTTACAAGTGATTTCCTGAAATTTTCAATGGTAAAATAGGGCCCATTTTCGCACATTTTCGGTAACTAGCGTCATAAGTGCATTATAAGAGGTTCATCAGCTGCCATTTCACATTGAAAATTTTAGAAAATCGCTTATAACTTTTGAAAAAGATCACGGTTGGTGCTGAAACTTTGGCATCTCCTTGGGACCTCTAGCAATACATTAAACAGAAAATGGGCGTTTGGCGATGCATACCAGTTTATTTTTGCGTTGAGTAAAACCCCGTAAATATTTTTGGGGGACGCCCTGTACAGTCTCATGAATTCAACCTCTCTAATTCAAACTTGCGGATAATTCAAACTGCCTAACTACCTTAATTAAAACTAGCCATGCGTCTTTATGGGAGGAAACTCCCGTTAATTCAAACTTTGCTTCATTCAAACAATTGTTCAGTCCCCCTCGGATTAACGAGATTCGACTGTATTTATTATCATAATAATAACTGTAAATTTAAAATACTGAAGTCAGGACGAGCTCAATAATAGTATAAATTTCACGATAATAAAGGTAATGGAAGAGACGAACTTTGGAGATCCATGCATTCCATCCTTTTGAGTTACAAATTAAAACTACAGGCTAGAACCTCGTCGATATGTTTTCGGTTGATGCGGCTTCCCAGATTCAAGAATGCGAGTCCCGTCTCCCAATTTCTCGCCTCTTGCGTTTACTTTCCCGGTCGTTACGTCCAGCCAGCCGACCTGACCAATGGGACGCCCTCCTCCCTTGGCTGCCCCATCACTCTTTCACCTCTTGGCCTCTCTGTGCCGTGATTCTTGCCCGGGTGGCAGGGTGGAAAAAAAAATCATAATCACTATTTTCTAAAAAAAAATCAAGTAAATCTGATTTATTTGATTTAAATCGCTGTAGTTTGAAAACAGAGAATCGTTATCGAAATATGTATTTTTAAACACGGCAAATTAATTGATAGATTTGTCCAATCCCTGATAATATTGCAGGAGAAAGAATTTCTGTAAACTTAGTAAGCTAGTTTATGTAAAAACATTTTATTGATGCAAACCTGCCAAGTTAGAACAAAACCATACTGATTTTCTTAGTTAAAATGCTCTATCTGCTTTCTCTTTTGCGTTCTGGTTTGCTTGCAACAGGACATTACTTTTCTCGTTTTTGTTTCCTTCTTTTCCATTATGATTTGCTTTATGTAACTGATCAACAAAGCAGAAGGTAGAAAGCCCGAGGCTCCGATTGCTCGGAAGGGCACTGCCTTTTGCTCGTGCTCAGCTCGATATAAATATTTCCTCCTCGGTGATTATTTTATTTAAATATCAACAAATGCACATAAAAAGAAAGCATAAAATGATATATAACTAGAAAATAAAAATATATTTTCGGAGTTATTTTTGTAGGAAAGGTTTGATGTAAGCCATAATAGTGAAACTGATATGATAAATAGCATGATTTAAACCCTCTTGATTTTTATTCTCCACACAGTCGGGCAGGCACGACCTCAGACTAGGCTCGAAAGGGATTATGGCTTTTGTAACAGCCGACTATTCTTCCATCTTTTTTGCACACCAGAAGCACATGCGTGCTTCCATTGTGCTCGATTTCCCCAGTTCCGCTAGCATCATTTCACGAGGACTTAAAAGTTGGTAATCATGCACCGTGTGGGTGCGTGCGCATAAAGCTTCATTGCTCTACACCGGAACAGTAGCTGACACGGGGAAGCATCAGCCCCCAAACCCCAATGAACTGTACCAAAAAGATTATTATTAACCGTGCCTTCATCGAAAGGGTTTTCTATTTTCTTTATAATCTCTTGTCTCCAGACGTCGGAGAGAATGTTACGGAAGTATCTACCAATACCCGAATAAAGTTCTCTACAACCGTGAAAGCCCTGGGTAGATAATTTGCTACGAGAGGGTTTCTTCCTGTCTCCCCTTCAGGCCCCAAAAGCATTATTGATTGTTACATTTTCAGGTTTACGCACATTTTTACTGTGACCTGCTGAAAAATGTATAGAGGAGGTTCTAGCGTATTTCTAAAATCTAAACTGTCCTAATAATGCTAATAAATAAAATACTCCAACAATAGGTCTCATAACATTGCCACATTTTGGTTAGAAGCCAATGCTAAATAAAAAGTTACTTTTGCGTGCATTGGGGCGTCGGGAGTTTTTTTATTGCGTTTTGCGTAGGTGTGACAAAGAAAAGATTGAAATTGTAATCTTGAGGGACTGCAAGCAAAGATTAGTACTACTATCATTATTAATAGCGTCGGAAGAGGTATTGGAAAGAGGCTTGCCAGCACTGATGAACTCTTCCTGAGAGGACAGCTGCGGCACAAAACCTGAAAGCAAATGCAGCGGGCATGAGTGCAGTGGATGCACAGTGTGCCAAGTGCCTGCCACAACCCCCCCTTGCAAGAGCGGCAAAACGTTATTTGGACTTTCCAAAACAGCACGTGCCACCTTGCAAATTTTGACTCCACCAAATCCCAGAGACCATCATGACGGGCCTTTTGGCGCAACAGACGGTTTGGCACGCTGGCTGCGGTGGCAAATGTAAACATTGTCGAAAGCATTGCACGTCTCGAATACTGAAACCGGACCTTTACCAACACAATGAGCTCATACTCATTTACTAAACACCAAACGGTTACGTCGGCCAAAGGGAACAGACGATATGGAGGCATAAATCTACGAGACACTGCGTTCGTACAAAACTAACCGTTTGCTTCGTAGGATAAACGTGGACAAGGCCCGCCTCAACTTGGAAGAAGGGTTTCTTTTCTTTGCACGTGACATTCCCGTGGCCAGTATCACGACGTAAGCTGAGACCTGGAACTTTCATTGTCTGTTTTTCCGCTCGCCAAGAGGCCAGACAAAAGGGGCAATTGTCCACTTCAAAGCTAGGTGCAAGAACAGAAATGCAGTCGAACATGACGGGGCAAAGCGGACAAACCTGAGATTAAAGCTGCCCCAGTCTCCACGGTGCGAGTTGCCCGCTTGGCACTGCAGGGAGGGTCCTGCCAAGGGGGACCGAATTTTTCATTCAGAGCACACTTATTCAGAAAAGAACCTCAGTCACCGAATACAGCAAAGGACGACTAGGTGTCATATCTCAAACCTGATACAGAGTCTCTGGTTTTGGGTGCTAAGTTCCGGCACCATATGGCAGAATAAATATGCGCTTACTTCCTTAACACAAAATCAATATCAATTGGCGACACGGACGTAACTCCGGCTCATGATACGGTGACGAAGGTAATCAACAGGCCGAGCGGTAGTGCACGAAAGTGAGCGAAATTGCGAATTAATTAAGGGAAGATTGGTTTAGTTGTGGAGTGCGGCAGTGAGTGCAGAATGCCTTTTTTTAGTCTATACAGACCGCTTTTAGAGAAAGCCGCAAAAGCTACGACACTAAAGCCAGGCACTCGTGCAACAGACGCCAGCCTGGCTGTTTGAAAAGATAAGGGATGGAAAACAGCGCAGGCACGTTTTCGCACCCACGGCCTTGTGGGTGCGAAAACTGTTCAGAGCTTGTGTGCTCTGGGCGCGACGCGCCAGCCGGGCAGACGAAGCAGACGAGGGTAGACGAAGCAGACCCACAACGTTTATTACCCTAGCATCAAGTGGCGAAAAGTACCCCGCGTCTCGCGGCGCACGCGCTTATCTAGATTACGATGCGCTCCTGGCGCCATCTCTTGGTCTCCCCTACATCTCCCCCCGGAGCTCGTTACTGCACTCTAGTTACACAGTTCGAAAGAAAGCGATGTTTACAAGTCCAACCGTCTTGGTGGCTTGATGGCACGTCCATAGCGTGATCTTGTAACACCTTGCGGGGAAGATGCACGATCCAGAGAGGGTGAAGAGCAGCCCGCAGTGGGCAACTCCCCAGGCTGACCTTCTTCGGGTGGTTGTCCTGGAGGCTCTTCGGCAGCAGGAAGCTCGACAGACTCCCTCGTAGTAACGGTCGGCGAGAAGGGCACCAGGTGCCGGCGGTTTCGCTGTAGGATTCCCTTGGGAGTCTCTACGACGTACGACCGTGGTCGTTGGGCAGGGCTCAGGACGCGTGCTTGACAGCTGGCATCCGTGACCCAGACGCTGTCACCTGGCTTGAGAGGGTTAAGAGAGCGAGCATTGTGCCGGCGATTGAAGTCTCCCGCCTGCCGGACCTTATTCCTGGAGTCTTGAGCCCGGAGCCTCTCGTGGCTTGGCTGAACTGGTGCGAGTCGCTGCGGCAGAGCAGGAAGACACGTCTGTAACCGCCGACCCATCAGCAACATGGCAGGAGAGACTCCCGAGATGCCCGGAGTGTCCCGGTAGGTGAGAAGCGCTAGGTATGGGTCTTCGGACTTGTACAAAAGATCCTTCACCGTGCGCACCATGTGCTCTACTGCGCCATTACTCTGCGGGTACCGAGGGCTACTGGTCTCATGCTCGAAACCGTATGACAGAGCAAAGTTTGCGAATTCCTGTGAAGCAAACTGCGGACCATTGTCTGTCCATACAACGTCCGGTATCCCATGTCGGGAAAAGCAGCTCTTGATAGCCGCGATAACCGCTGAGGCTGACGTAGAGCTCAAGGAGACGACTTCCGGAAACCGAGAGTAATAGTCCACCATGAGAACATAATCACGGCCTTTCAGCTGAAACAAGTCAATGGCTAGGCGTTGCCATGGCCGATCTGGTGTAGGCGTTGACATCAAGGGCTCCGAGTGTACAACCCTTGTTTCCGCACACTTGTCACAGCTGGTGACCAAATGTTCGATGTGGCTGTCGCAGTTAGGCCACCAGACGCTTTCTCTGGCTCTCTCCTTACAGCGGCGAAGTCCTTGATGGCCGTCGTGCAGAAGGGCCAGGACGTTGCTACGCAGAGCAGCAGGAATAACGAGACGGCAGTCCAGCAGAAGAAGGTCCTCCGAGACTGTCAACCTTCCTCTCTCTTTCCAATACGGCACCAAGTTGGGAGGCAGCTTCCTCTTGTCTGGCCATCCCTCTTGGCAGTAGCAAACGACGAGAGAACATTCTCCATCTTCAGCTTGTCGACGACGAACCTCTTCCAGCCTGTTAGCGAGGGGAGGTGGAAGACCTTTAAATATCTCGCTAGCGAAAATTTCGACGGAGAATACTGTAGAAGAAGACCGGACATCGCAAGGGGCATGTGACAGCGTGTCCGCCGTGGCAAGAAGTCTACCTGGTACGTGCCGAACGTCGAATTGGTAGCGCATCAGCTTTATGCGCATTCGCTGAATTCGCGGTGGCAGCAACTCCAGCTCCTTTTTTCCCAGCAGGGCGACGAGAGGCAGGTGATCTGATTCCACGGTAAAACTAAGCCCATGCAGATACTGGTCGAACCGAAGAACAGCCCAGGTCACGGCAAGAGCTTCCTTTTCTGTCTGACTGTAGCGTGCTTCAGTCGGAGTCAAGGACCTTGAAGCAAAGGCCACAGCTCGACGAACTCCGGACGGCTGATCTTGCAGCAGTACCGCTCCCAGGCCAAATGAGCTTGCATCTGCGGAAAGTCTCGTAGGATAGCGTGGATGGTACTTTGCCATGCAGGTTTCCGAGCTCAGCATAGCCTTCAACCGCTTGAACGCGTCATCTTGGCTTGCTCCCCAGGACCATGCGCTTGACTTGTTGAGAAGTGAACGGATGGGGGCAGTTACGTCCGAAAGGTGCGGCAGGAAGCGTCCAATGTGGTTCACTATCCCCAGTAGACGGCGAACGCCTGCAACGTCCGTTGGCGGAGGTAGCTCCCGAATGGCTCGAAGCTTGTCGGGATCCGGCGAGATACCATCTCCATCGACGACGACTCCGAGGAACTTGACCGAGGGAACCTGGAATTCACACTTATGCTCGTTGAGCTTTACCCCGGCTTGCTCAAGTCGTCGGAGTACCTCAGCAAGGCGTTGATCGTGCTGTTCAAGGTCTCTACCGTAAACAAGGACATCGTCGATCATATTCACGACGCCAGGCAACCCCTCCAGGACCCGTGACATTTGACGGTGAAAATATTCGGGTGCAGACGCCAGACCAAATGGCAGACGACGGTAGCAGTAGCGACCAAACAGCGTGATGAACGTCGTTAATTCTTCGCTTGCGTCGCTGAGCTTGATTTGGTGGAAACTGGAGGTCGCGTCGAGTTTTGAAAACACTTTGGCGTCGCCTAGCTGCCCCAGGATCTGGTCAACCGTCGGCAGGACGTATCGCTCCCGCTCAATAACTTGGTTTAACTTGGTCAGGTCGACGCACAGCCTGTACCCACCCGACGACTTGGGGACGACGACAAGTCTGGAGCACCATGCTGTCGGCTCGTCAACCCTTCTGATGACACCTTGAGCTTCCATGCCATCAAGTTCTCTCTTGACGACGTCGAAGAGCGGCAGCGGTATTCGTCTTGGAACGCTCAACGAGTACGGCTGAACCCCTGACTTCAGACGAATGGTGTACTTTTCTTGGAGTTCGCCCAGTCCTTTAAAGATATGGGCGTCAGAAGATGGAACACAGCTGACACGAGCGTCTGAAGACGGGACACGTCCATCCATTTTTCCGGACTCGGCGGAGGTGGTGTTCACAAACTTGACCACGCCGAGAGCTTCTATCGCAGGTAACCCTAGAAGCGGTGTAGTTTGAGCCCGCATGATGTAAAGCTGTTGGACGGTGCGCTTGTCCTTCCACGCCAGAGTAGCTTGGAAAGTGTCCAAAACAGGCAGTGGCTGGTTCCCCGGGCCGATAAGCTCTCCTTCCACTGCGTCGAGCTTGCGAGGAACGCCTGGAAGCGACGGCCGAACGACGGTGACGTCTGCTCCCGAGTCCACCTTGAACCTTGTCACGTGGCCGTTGACGCTTACTTCGACGTATCTTGCCCGTTGCGTACGAACAGAGCAGAGTTCGACGGAGCCCAACTTCTCCTTGCGCTTCTTCGCGCGACAAACTTCTGCAAAATGACCTTGCTTTTTACAGAAAATGCAAGTTGCCTTCCGTGCTGGACAATCCTTGCGGTCATGCGCAGAACGCCCACAATTGCCACAAACTGCGTTGTCCAAACGCTGCTGCCGGTTACGTGCGCGCGACGACGGAGCGGATGACGCAGTCTTTTTCTTCGTCGCGTCGACGTTCAAGGCCGCTGCAGCTTGCGCCGAACGAGAAGCGCGCTCCCTCTCAGCATCTTCGTGCTGGCGTGCTTGTAAAAGTGCTTCGTCAGCGGTGAGCCGTGTGGAACGGCACAGCTGGTCCGATAGCTTCTCGTCCAATAAGCCGACTACGAACTTGTCACGCACTAGGCGGTCTTGTATCTCGGGGCTGTTATAGTTGCAGTGTCTGATTAGGGTTCGAAGCTGTGAAAAACGCGTCGACTGTTTCCCCAGGCTGCTGAGTCCTGCGGTGAAATCTTCGGCTTTCGTAAATTTCGTTCGCCGGATGAACGAAGTGTTGAGTCAGCCTCTCCTTGACGGCGGCAAACGGTTGCGTCTCCGGGGTTGGCACGCCAAGCGAAGCTAGCACGGTACGAGCTTGCGGACCCATGCAATAAAGCAACGTTCTTACTTGCGTTTCGTCGCTTGCAGAGCGTAGACCGGTGGCGAAGGCGTAGTCCTCGTAGGTTTGAATCCATGTTGTCCATTCACCTGGGCTCGTGAAGACGAACGGCGACGGCGGTTGAAGCCCCGTGGCCCCGAGGTGGACGCTCTTTTCTTCGTCCGGCATGGCGGTAGCGCTGACTACGAGCAGGTGTACCCCACTTCTGACACCATGTTCAAAGCTTGTGTGCTCTGGGCGCGACGCGCCAGCCGGGCAGACGAAGCAGACGAGGGTAGACGAAGCAGACCCACAACGTTTATTACCCTAGCATCAAGTGGCGAAAAGTACCCCGCGTCTCGCGGCGCACGCGCTTATCTAGATCACGATGCGCTCCTGGCGCCATCTCTTGGTCTCGCCTACAAAAACTGAAGTTGAGCAAGTGTTAACTTTGGCGCATAACCGCGCTCCAGATCTTTCTAAAACGATTTACAAGTTTTCAATGATGCGTCGGAGCGAGGCACGCGACACCACGTCACAACACTGCGCCAAGGAACCGGCAGTCCTCCGCTGCAAAACCAACCAACTTGGGATAAACATGCACCACCGCAACATTGCCGTTCGCTAGAGTAGCTAGTTCTTTGGGAACACTTAATTTGCCCGCATATCTGTGGCGGGTGCTATTGCCAGGGCGATGTTTTAAAGGGATACTACAACGAAATTTCGGCGTTTATTTTATGGTCTTATGTGTGTTCAAAGAAGCAGTATCACATCGAACACACGAATATATTGTTAAAAAAGTCACGAAAAGGAATTTTAAAACGAATTAAACGATTAGCAAAGAGCACCTAGTGGATGTCGCTAACGCCTCGCTTGTAATGCCCGTCTAGGAACCTTGACAGCTAGTGACGGTGAGTGTCTCGTCTCCGGCCACAACAAGAGAAGAGGGGAAGGAGGAACTCCCCCCTTCCCAAGAATCCCTTTTGTGTGTTCCAGAAGTAGCTATTGTCCCCCTACAAGATTATAAAAGATTAACCTGTCACTCAAAATTCGTACAAAAGCAGCCGCTTCGGTGGCTGGAACGACTAGGCCATCTCCTCGACGTTAGCCTCGCCGTAGCTTTGCTCGTCCCGAGACGACCTACGTCACGATTGCGTTGGATGTCACATGCTGTAAGCTGGGCCTTCTCTGAGCGCTTGCTAAAGTGGGCCGTTTATAATGAAAAATACAGTCACCAGGCTCAAAATACAAACGTGCGATTGTCACTTACGGATATTGTGGATCATATTCAACCTATTTTTGAACACGACGGATATATTTCCAATTTCATTGAAGTATCCCATTAAGCGGAAGCGGTCAATTACACGGCTGCGATCGCTAACGGCCATGGCGCTACGAGGAGAAAAAAATCTGGACCAGATAAAGATGTGGCGTCACTATTTTGGTTTAAATATAATTCAAACTCATAAATTCATCAATATTTATTGGTTAATTTTTTATATACTCTCAATAGAGATGGAACTGCTCGAGTTCAATTACCCAACGAAAACAAAACCCAGAACTACGCTTTCTAGCGGACGTCATTGTTGCTTTGGCTGTATTGACGCCTCTATGGCCTCGACCATGGAGTGTTATCACCCGACTTGCTCCGACAGTCTTGTTGGATCGCGGGGGCCCCAGCCTTTGCACTTTGCCACGTTATCGTGAAACGGAGTAGTAACACAAAAAGAAGTGCGCCTAAAGTGGCACCACGACAGCTCTGAACGCACGAACGTAGATACAAGAAAGGCGGGAACTGCATCACAACGTAGGTCCTCTCGCCCTATTATTGCTTGACCATTGTCATCACCATTGTTGGTCCCCTGCTTCGTGTCTGTGTAGTAACTATGTTAAAATTCCTTTGCATTATCATGCACATTGAGCTAGTTTATCATTCTCACTAGTTTTTTGCAACGTGCGAATGTGCCAAGGTTTCCATGCACTTTGATTCATGCCTAGGGAGTTTTCTTGGCCACAATTCTGCATGTGCATTGGCCACTGTGCATAAACAAGACGCTGATGCCTAACAACTTCTATGTGACATGTCATAGCTGTCGAGCTGTCGCCTTGACTGTAATGTGGATTAACGCAGGACTGCTCGATTTTTCTTTTCTTTCTGATACTCGTAACATTTTTTTTACGTTGAAAGGCTTTTTTAAGTTTGTTTATTTAATTACTTTTTTCTCATTTATAATTACTCTGTTGATATGGCCCTCGAGACTGCGACAGATCTTTAATCCGGCCCCTTAGCCACAAAGTTTGGCGACAACGAAAATTCAGCACTACAGCTTTGTCATCTAGTACTAGACGTTGCTGTGAAGCACTTCTCGTATTCCCCGTTCAGGTGAAAGAAAGCGCCATAGTTCTCTATTGACTCAGAGCCCATGCCAAAGCCTGTATGAAAGCAGAGTCCGCCGCTAGCCACGATATGCCAACCTTTCTGTAATCAGCATCCTCAATCCTTCGCGTAACGCTCTGCAATTAGTATACGGCCACACACTTTATATGCAAGCGCATAATTCGAGATAGAAACCCAGAATATGAAGTGTTTATTGCTTCCGGTGCACCTCTAGGCAATTGATGTAACGGAGACATAAAAATAAAGTGATTTTCCTAGCGAATGTTCGCATCCCTAACAGATTACCTTAGAAGTCAAATGAGCAAAACAGGTGAAACAGATCCCGACAGACTGACACAAACACAAGACGCATTTTGTGTCAATCGGCTTTGTGCAAAAGTATCGAGGTACTTCTTTTTAGGAAGCAGAAATCTTATTAAACTGGGGACTACAAAGAGCACGAACGAATTCGAGTTTTGCTCGTCTTTGTCACGACGGCGATTGCAGAGACAAATACCTCGCTTTTGCCGGCGTAGAATTCTCCTACTGAGAAGCTGCTCTTGTCCGCAAAGGGGTGGCGGAACGAGACGCCCGGCTCTTCAGATGGCTTGTCCTGCAAGAATCAGCGAGCGTCTGCACCGCTGGCAGCATTCGGGTGCAAAGGGGATGTGCGTTGCTTAAGGTACACGTTCACACTAATGCACACTAGTAGAAGAATGCTTTGCAACCATTTTCCACGGAGTCATTCTACGTGTGAAAATAGGCAAGGCCGAAATGTCTGCCAGGAACATGTCTCGCTAAAAGACGGGCACTTGGAATTTCACGGCATCGAACATACACCTCAGACCGAGCAGCGACCTCCAGACAGCTGTACAAACCGGCTTACCTTAGCTGGCAGACTGTCCTTCTTCAAGCTCTCCCCCGTGAATGTGGACGCAGTCCCTCTAGCGAGAAAGAAAGCCCCACCCGAGTTGCGGTCTGAAACACTCGTCCCAAACAATGGTACAGCTAGCAAGAGCAGGAGGAACTCTCTAGAGCGGTCGCTACGGCTTGTGGTTTGTGCACGCAGCAACGTGCTGCAAGCTTCTAAAAGAATGCCCATCTCGAGGGAAGGGGTGTGCAAAATGTCAAAGGGGGCAGTGAAGCTAAGGACAATGCAACGATCCACAAGCGTGCTACAAGCACGTGCGACATGGGGATCTATACCACGGTTTGATGGCATGCCAATCTTGCATTCTGAGGCTCTACAACACTACATCACGCGGCACACCGAATCAAAGTAAAAGACGACTTTCAATGTGCCACCAAAAGAGCTTCCCGATTCCCTCGCATGCACTTGCTTGTCTCTTGCTGCTGCCACCAACTTGGCAGTGCAGGCCGCAACCTAAGTCGTGAACTGACTCCAAACATGTGCACATTTGAGTACACCCGGTTTCTTTTCATTGTTTGCACAAATATTTTTTGTCATAACTGAAAACAACTGGCTCAAGTATGAACCTGTAAATACTGAACCTTGGGATCTTAATTAAAGAAAGTATTTTTGCCTCTCTGAAATGTTTACTGGGTTTGTCATTATGACTTACGGCTGTGGCTGAGCAAAGAACTTTGGAAACTCGTACATGGTACTGTATCGTTTTAGTGTAGAAGCTTTGCATACATGCGTGGCATGGCATCAAACGAGGGAAGAAGGTAGTGGGTTGTTGGCCACCAGCCAAACACCTGCACCTAATGAATCCACCCTCTAACACTGCACTGCTATAGTCTGTGAATCTACCAAGTCGTAAGGTAAAAGGGGTGGGAGAGGACGACGAGGCAGAGCCTCCAGAAGATGCGGCAGCACATGCCAGGACAAAAGACTAGATGGAAACATTAACCGTTTTTCTCGCAACATGCAATTCTGCATACTATGGTGTTGGGAATTCCTTTAAAGGGGTGCTGAACCGAAATTTTGATTCCACAACACACGCGGTAAAAGCGTGCAACGGGATGCTACAAACACCAAAACATCACTCATACAGCGATATCTCGAATGGATGACAAAATTTTTCAAGAAAAGGAGGCGCATTTGACAGAGATGATGTCGTCATGTTTCTCCGAGAAGGAACGGCCTCGCGTCTTCTCCGCCTCGCGGCCTTGAGGGAGCGAAGCGAAGAGAGGAGGCAACACGGTATACTGACGTCACGCGCCTCGTCGGCCTGGTTCAATCTTGACCTCTTTTTCCAAAAACATGGCCATCCACTCGAGATTTCGCCTTACGAGTAGTGGTGTAGGGATTGTAGCGTCCCGCCTACATTCCCTGCATTGTTTTTTCTGAAATTCAAATTTCGGTTCACCATCCCTTTAAGTTTAGTGTTGGGAATTACTTTAAGTACACTGTACTTCAAGTACCTAGGTTTAGAAAATATCTACTTTACCTGAAGTACATTTACTAAGTCTGTACTTTTACTTCTATTACTTTTTTAAGCATTTTTTTTCTGGTACTTTCCGATGGAAGCACAACTCCCGACTTGAAAGTACATTCCTCAAATTTAGTCCTCCGAGTGAAGTAATGGTGATTATAAGATTGATACAAATAAGTGCCTTGTAAGTTGATTGTGTTAAGCAGTTTGCCAGCTGCCAGCGAGATTAAAAAGAACTACTCTTAGGCCACTTGACTTTCTCCAATATTCACCGCCATTTCTGAAAATAACTACCATTTCTGAAAAAAAACTGATGCACCCGCAATTACACCTGGGGCAAATGCATACCAGTTAAAAATAAAAGACTGTACAAAGAAATGAAAGTGCATCATGAAAGATTGAGTAAAAAGTACCTGTACTTTACTTCAAAAGTGCATTGTATTTATAGTACTTTACTTCAAGTGCTGCATCTTCCGGGCTATAGTCCACACCTGGCCATAGTCCGCAGGGGCCCATTTAGGCTGACAAAAATGTTTTTGCTTAGACAGTCTGCACCTGGTGCTTAGTCAACACGAAAACCTTCTCATACAAGGCACACCCTGAGAAATGTCTGCTTTCTTAGCTCACAAAGAAGCTTGTATTATACATAAATCCCTCCCTTTAACAAACTCTTTCATTAAAAAAATCTGTCACGTCTCATCATAATGAACAATCGTGAAAAACCAAACTCTTGTATAGTCCGCACGCGTAGAAGTCCACACAGCCGATAATTTTGATTTTAAAATGTGATGTTTGTGGACCATTGTCCGGAAAATATAATACATTGCGCCCGGTGAACTTGCTACTTTACTTGAAGTACATACTAACCTCTCATTTACTCTGTACTTTACTTCAAGTACTTTTTAGGTGAACTTTACCCAACACTGTGTCTACTGGGTTTATTGTTGCACCATGTGATTGGGTAAGCAGAGCACATTTATTGGTATTTGAGGCATGGCCAAGCGTTTTCCTCTAGGCTTTTCAGCTTACATCTGCTCCAGAGTTTTTCTCCATAGATAGTGCAACCCAGAAGGGCATCAAAATCATTGCTGGCCTCAAATATGAAAACAGCAACCTTCGTAGGGTGGGCATTTCTTGGGAATTCCACGAGGCACAGTTGTACACATAATGGAGGTAAACGAAACCTTGCTCCGAATGTGCACGCACATGATGTTGATGCGGGACTAGTAGGGCAAACTTACAGGGCATCCTGACTCCTCGTAATCTTGACAGTGCCGCAGCGGGGACCTAGGAGGATAGGATTCCAGATGAGATTGGATACTTTTATACAATAAATCCACTGATAAGAGAGGATGAGCCAGGCGTATTGACTCCTTACTAAAACGACAGACCTCGAGCTACCAGAACCCGCTCACTCATGTTAGGCCAGTCACAACCTTGGCACGAGTGCCAAGCATGCGACTATTCTCAAAATATTACGCCGCTGCTTTTCTTTCACATGGAATTTGTGTGTAAAGAGATGTGAGCTTTTTTCAGCACTGCAAGCCGGTGCAGTGGTTAAACTTAAGAGAAAAGAAGACATATTTCTCATCCCAAAGGGTGCAGGAAGAACAACAGCTCTTTATTGTTTCAGCCATTGTTTGTGTAGATTAACTAATCGAGTGCTCCAGAATGAAGACGATTCGATATGAGACCTCTTCTGGCAAAATGTCTTCTTTAGTTTAGGAATAGGCCAGTAGTTGCTTCAAAATCTATACGGCGATGTTTACTCGCAAAAGATGAACTTCACAGGGATTTGACTTGTCCCAGAAAATGGCTCGGAGAACCTTTCAAAGTGACATATTGCCAAGCTTTCTTGGAATACTGCGCAAGAGTTGGCACTAACGTATAATATTGATGTTTTTTCCCCTTCTGATACAAACAAGGTATCGACAAGGACCAAATTCTTTGTCCAAAGCGTCTTGTTCGGAGTTTTAAATGAGCACCTTCCCCCACACTAGTAGGGCACACTTTAATTCCAAAAGAAAAAACAAGAAACCAGCTGTCGGCCGGTCATAGCAACCGTGTTGCTCCCTGCGTGAGCGCCGACACAAGGACCAATTTGAAAGTGCGATTGGAAAGCGAATACAGCGCCGAAAAGAGGGCGACAAAGGAACGCCAGCATACCCAGCTTCCGTTCAGATGTCCGAGAGCATCTGATGACAGCTGCCAGGCGCTGCTTGCTTTCTTCAAGCATCGTGGAAAGCTCAGCCTCAACCTGCTGCAGAAAAATCGCAAGAGCTGCACACTGCTTTTCGAGCTTCTTGTTCACTTCAGGGCGAAGGAATACAAATTACGTCGTATTTCGATTCATCCCCGAAAGAGGGAGCTTTTAGCTTTTCGTAGTATTTTATCAATATTATTATTATTAAATCATCTTTTCTCGTTTGATACTCAATATAGCTAATGACCTTTTCCTGGTTAGATTCTTTTTTAATTTTTAATCTCCAGTATGCTACCCTTTCCACTGAACTATAGGTGTTCAATAGTGCCCACTATCCGTAGACAATATTGTTGCTGGTAACTTTGTACGGGGATTCGCCTTACAATGCTCAGTGACGACGCAGTAGAGCGGATTCTAAGCAGATCAGCAAAGCAACACTGCCGGAAATGAATTGATTCAGAATTTATGAGTATGTCTGAATGTGAGGTTCCTGGGTACCTTGTCCACAGCCATCTTCTGTGCATGGCCAACAGGGCTGAGGAGGCTGGTGTCCAGGGTGTTGTCTGAATGAGGGACAACAACCGGCTGTCAGAAGCATTGCTGTCCAAAAGCTGGCCAACTTGTGGCGCACAACAAAAGGGCTATCGTCGTGCAGCCCTGCCGCCACCCAATTGCAAAACAAAGCACGAGGCAGTGAGTCTGCAAGCGAGCCCTAGCTCAATGGCAAACTCAAAAGTTTTCACCATGACATAGGTAACACAGAGAAGGGTTGTCCATCCCCTTTTCTGCGTTACCTTCCTGATGGTGGATACTGTTACCAACACGCTCGTTTTGTACCCAAAATTTCTGCTTTGGATTGTTGCATCAATGGAATTTGTGAGAGTTCTACTTCTCAGACTTAAAACTACACTCGGCCCGAGCGAGGATTTGGCCCGTATTAAAATGCAGGAAAAATATAAGTATTCTAAAATATCTTAATTTCAGCAAAACAAACACAAGCAAGTGTTCTTACACACAGTCATTGACATCAACAAGTCTCGACAGCGAGTCTAAGAATCTAGGGTGCTAACACTATGATTACCGTAAGTGTAGCCAGAGTAGCACCTAGACAAAAAATTGTGCCTCCGCCTCAGTGCGAGCATAGCAGAAACTATAATCCGTCTGCCCCTAAGCTGACAGTGAAATGGAGGCGATGTGATCAATGGGCCAGTGATGTGGCTATCTTTCGCTAAGTGAATAAGTTCAGGTAATGAAAGGGAGGTGTTTGATTGGTCCGGCAACTGTGTAGCTCCCATCGCACTATCAGGAGTGAACGTAGCATACAAAAGCAGGCTCTGGGACTTTCTCGATGTTCCTGCCGAACCCACGCGCTCGTGCTCGAAGCTTCAGCTTCACTCGCGCGTAAAGTGAAACAAACTACATGCACTGTGTATGGTAGTATGTTTAGAGCCCATTGCGCTACAACCAGTGTGCCGAACCGAAAAAAATAGGGGTTCGGTTATGGTTCAGGTTCAGGTAAATTTATTTTGTTCCAGTTCAGTTCCGGTTCGATTAATTCGATCCGCGAACCAGTTCGCGAACCGGTTCGGGGCGCTGAACCGGTTTGGAAATTATAAATGACAAATTGCAACATCAAAATACCAAAATCAAAATAACATAGAAAAAAAAAAAATTGCAACATCACGTTCTAGAAACGTGTTATGAAACGAGCACACAGCAGCATTTAGGATTTACGAGATTGTAGGAAAATGAAATCCCGTGACACGATTTCTTTTTTTTTTTGCACAGCCTTCCAATTCTCTTTCTTCCGTGCAAGCCGCGACCAGCGCAATACTGGTTCCTATGTCAAGATTCATGGATGCAGCGTTTATATTCCGAAGACTGAGTGGAGAAGAAAAATATGTAAGCGAGGTGTGTGTCAGTTGACGGCACTTAAAAAAACAAATGGCATTGATAGCACATTCATTGTCAACAGCGCGTGGCCGAACCATTTTGAAATGAGCCGGTAACCGTTATTTTTTTTTACGGTTCAGTTCCGGTTCGGGTTCATCGCGATAACAATATAACGGTTCGAGTTTGGGTTCAGTTCCGGAAAAAATACCGGTTCGGTTCCGGTTTTCGGTTCGGTTCCGGTTCGACACCCTGACTACAACCAGGATGTCTATGTAGCTGAATATCCCAATTTACTTCTACAGGATTTTTGTGGCCATCCTGTCAAAATTTCCTCCAGAGGTTCAGAGGTTCAGTGGCCAATGACGACGATAGTGGTACACCATACTTGCGACCAGTGACCTCGGACGGGCTAAAAGCACTACTGAGGGCAACAAATATCTCTAGGCGCACTACCTTATTCTCAAAATATACTAAATACATTTTTCTCCCTCTCCCGTTTTATATCGAGCCTGCACTGCAATTCATAATAATTTTTGACGTGTCAACAGTGATGCTGGAAGTATATTTTCAGTGGAGGGGGGTTGAAGCCAAGTTCCCTTTAGTGCTTGGTTCCATGGCTTGCACCTGGCATGGACGCACGAGACGAGCGCCAGGTCTCTCCCCCCCTAAATAGTTTTATAAAAAAAAGGGCCCTGGCGCGCGCCCCCCCCCCCCCCCCCCCCCCGATTCCGGCGTCACTGCGTGTCTATGGCATTTCTTAAATTGGAACAAAAACAAAGCTAACGTCAAGAGCAGCCCGGTCACCTGAGAAGACGGTGTCCGACAGAATCCCCAGGGAGGAGTTGCACGAGGGCCTGCCCTGCATGGGCACCGGCTGCGCATTCAGCCAGGACCTGCACATGTTTGTGCGCTTGCATCAATCTCGTCTCTGCTGCAACGTGAAAGGAACCTACCATATTTTCTAGTCCCTAGGTCTCACCGCGTATAACTCACACCTCCTCCAAACGACAGTTTCCACAAAAAAGTTGGTACATCAGTCGCACCTCTTTGAATGCAACATTTGGGTGAAGTGGCCATTGACCACTTCACCCAAAAGCTGTGTCCGGCTGGGACCCGCGTTCTATCAGTGAGCTATCGATTGAGTCGCAGCCAAACTTTGACGCGGTGTCCCATTTTGGGCCTCGCGTTTGATCCAGGGAGACGGTGTAAAAAATTCAGTCCACGGACCTTGTGTCGGGTAAACACTGAGCCGGGTGGCAAACAAACTGGAGAAAGCACACCCTATATTTCAATCACCTTCCAAATAGCACACATCTGCCTGTAGCTTTCAACTTAATCAACCGTGGGACCCGTAACTGTTGACGGAGAAACATGTCAAGCGGGTGATGTTTTAGTGTCTATTAAAACAAGCCGATCAGTTTCTTTATCTCGAGGTTAGCGTGCAGCAAACTATACCGACCCTCTGCACCTCAAATTTGTTGTATGTAAAAATGCCACCTTGAAAACGAATACAGTACCGACAGATTAAAGACAAAAAAGAACACTGCACAAAGGCTGGACTTTACAATGTCCAGCCACACCAAACACTCAGGGTGTGCCTCAAAAGCACCGGATCTTAAAAGAAAAGAAAGATGGTGCAAAGGCATCACACATTTCTGGCAAAGACACGAAGGAACTCCACAAAAGCTTTGTAGAACTGGCCGACATTTCGTCGGTAAAAAATTGTCTAGCAAACTGCTTGGTGCTCCTCGTGAAATGTTCTGGTATCGCTTTGGAACATTACAAAGCCCGATGCCTATGCTCGCGGCGCTCTTCATCAGTTAACAAGTGGCATATAAACTTGATGGCATTCCCTGGAATAAAGATACAGGCACTAGTCGGGTTTTAAATATTAAATTGTTCAGAATTCCGTCCAAACGGAACGTTGACCACCACTAGAGTTTCGTCCAAACCCGTTGCGCTCATTGCCAGTGGCACCATCTAGGTGAGATTCCCTTGTGCACGTCACGCCGCCACCTGCCGTTGCCATGCTTTCTCCAGTCCAGTTTGTGTAGCGCCATCGGCACCGCCCTTGTGCCTTGTCCACGACAAGATGACGAAGTGTGACAGAATCGATTCCGCAACACAAGCTGCAAGTACGCCGTCACTTGCATGCACCATGGAGGTTCGCGCGAAGTTTGTGTTGCCCCATCTGGACGGAACTTTAGTGGTGGTTATCGTCTGGACGGAACGCTAGCCACAGCCTTTAATTAACACGATACTGAAACAAAATTCTAGCACCTATTTTACTGTCTAAATGTCAACCACATTCTGGAGACACCGTGACGTCACTATGCGTTTAAGAGCAGCGCTGCTCCATAGAAGTTTGGTGGCAAGCTGCGCGTATGCGCAAGCCCTATTGAACTGAATTTTTGTTCTCACACGGCCTGCTCAAACCTTGCGGGAAGGGGGGGGGGGGGGGGGGGGGGGTAACCAAAAAAGGGCTAGGTTGTAACACGTTTATGACACCAAGCGGCAGAGCTGATAACCACACTGGTGCCCCCAAGCAGCTGTGCCAGTGCTGTATCAAGTGACGTCATTTGGTACAGCTCGCATGATGCATAGCCCTCTTCAATGGCTGATTTTAAGTGCTCGCTGGAGTCATTCCTTTGGAACGAAAAGTATAGTCATCCCTACAAAATACGAGCATGCAAATGTCATTAGCAGATTGAGGCGATAATGTTTAACTTATTCCTGAACGTGAGGACGAGGTATATATTAGTTTCGATTCAGTATCCCTTTGAAACCAGGAGGTATCCCAGAACTTCCCACACTCACCTGAATCGGCCAATCAACATTGATCACGTGACCGTTCCTCCAGACAATCAGCGCCGAGCTTTGCAGTCGATTTTTTGGGCTTCACTCAAGCGCAAATGAGTTTTGTTAGCGGGCCGAGGCGACGAGCCAAAGAACGTGTCACATTACAAACTCCGGGGTTCATTGCGGTCGCCCCGCTGTTTCAGAGCCTCATATGAGCCCAAATGTGACATCAGAGATTAACTTGAGCGTCGCATCTGCTCTGCTACTGCGGGCCCCACCTAGAGGACAGACCAGTCGTTGTTCGCTGCACTCAAATGACCCTGGCTTTTCCAGGGGCGCAAGATATTACGGGCTCGTTCCCCTCGGCTTGCAAACAAACTCTGAATGCAAAGTGATCTCCAGTGGCTGACCAGAGAGAGCAAGAAAGCAGCCGGCAGTTCAAATGCCGCGCAACGGCAACGCCATGGCGCCGTCCCGATTCGAAGCTGCTCACCTCGTTCGATCCTCCATCACCGTTGACGTGGCTTGGGGTGTTCTGTGCAGGTTATTCAACTGCGACAATGAGGTGTCGTCCAAAAAATGCTTGGACGACATTCTCTTGAAGGAACGACGTCGAAAAGACGTCAAATTGCGCGGCAAACGTGACGAAAATGAAGAATCTGGATAGTGAAGCTGGTAAGGCCATAGAGTAATATAGTAAACGTAAAGAGAGGACACTGAAGCCGATTCGCGGCCCAGATAGTAGGATTCATACCCTCCGCTACGTGGCGCTTTTCCGTAATTTGGTTAATATTAATTACAGCTTTCTCTCTGAAAAGTATTTATTTTCTAAATTTTTATGCTTTAGAGTTTTTTAAAGTACTTAAAACGACTAAATAGTGTTAATCAAATACGTCACAAAAACCACGTGATGAATGGCGCCTGCCATGGCCTGTCTGCTTGCACGCCGTCACCTCTGCTCGTCCGTGCGGTCCGTGCTTCGTTCGTCCGTGCCGTACCGTCCGTGCCGTCCGTGCCGTTCTTCTCCGTTTTATGCTACAGCGTGTTCGGTCGACTTTGCTTGAAACAAAGTGACGAATGACCGCCGCGTGCTCTCATGCTCGGCGTGAGTTTGTAGAGCTGAGCGGCTTGATATGGCTTGAGCTTCTCGTGTTTCCGTCGGGCTGCCTGGACCTAGATTTTTAAACAAAAGGTAAGTCGTTTTGCTCATTTGTCTCTCGACTGTGTTGTAAAGCTGGCTTTTGAATTTGTTGAGTCTGGGTTGCCGTCCGACGCCCCTCGGGCAGAGCTTTGTTCATGCGTGTTCAAGTGCCATCAGACATCTGTGGATTGCTGTTGAGAGGACTTATGCCGTCATAGATTGAAGTTAATTCACTGACTAAAGCTGGGTCGACAGTCGTTCGCAGTGCGACGAATTCGGGGCAAGGTGTCCATTGAGTCATATTGATATTTTGACATGCATTCTTTCAATGGCGCGTCGCTGCTTTGATTTATCACATAAAGTACGTGCAAAAGAAGCGAACCAGCGAACGTCGCTCAAGCGAGCTACATAACTTGTGTGTACCGCCATACGAGCTGCAGTATGCTGCAGTTACGACGACAAACACATGCATAGAATTTCGGGGGAAAAAACTGCGAGACGCAGTATCAAATTTAGATATTTAATAAAGTTCCCAAGCAGCATATATATCCTATGGACGTCCACGGGACATCCAGGATAGGACATCCATGGAACTTTCGGACACTCTGAGAATGTACGGAGGACTATTCAAACATGGTTCCCACTACATCGCTACATCACCAAATGGAGCTCGAAATTTAGGTCTATGGTTCGCTGACATTATTTTCTATGTAAGAAAGCAAAATTCAAAATATTGACGGCCAATTTACCAGAAACAGTAGAGGTAGATTAGTCTTACTTATTTTGGCCGTACCGCTGTACTATGCTTAAATTCCTGTTTTACTCTTAAGGATGACATTCGAACGTTGGGTAAAACCAGTCAGACGTCACTTGAACACTTGGTTGGAGTGCTGTGGCATGGCACTCTAGACACTGCGTTCGATTATGATGCATGAAGATTGCGTAAACTTCACAAAGTTCACAATATTTCTTTCACCCGTCTGTGTTAATACGTGTCATGGGTTTATTGTAACATTGCGTCATGGCAATATCTTGTGACATTGTTTAAATCTCCATCAGTTTATTTTTTCACCAGCCGCTATTGTGCTACCTTCCGTTGAACTAAAGGAACGCGCCATTGGCTAGGCTTCAGTAAATGTTAAACTCTCCCTCCCCCGCTGGCCCAGATTATGTCCTACGGAAGTTACTGCTGCGTGGTCTGGTGTGCCAACAATGGGAAAACAAAGAAGCCACATGTCAAGTTTTTTCGAATTCCACGTGACCCAAGGTACCTATAGATTCTAAGGCAGTCCTTACAACATTTGATCGAAGCATAACATTTTGAAATGAGAACTATGGTCCGTTGCAACCTAAGAACGAAGGGCGAGGGTAAGACGGGCCGGGGAGGAGGAAGCAGACGGAACACGAAACGCTAAGGAGAGAAGGAGGTTTCCCCTTTCTTCTCCAGCGTTCCGTCTGCTCCCTCCTCCCCGGCCCGTCTTACCCTCGCCCTTCGGTCTTAGGTTGCAACAAACTATAGCAAAAACGATTTCTTCCATGTCACTTTGGTTTATGGACACCAATATCTTTCAGCATTTTAAGGTTATCTTGCCTCGGGCCTAAATTGATTGCATACCCTGGTGGGTATGCAATCTGTTTGTTTAGCTGTATTGCACTGTACAGTAGCATGAAAAAGAAAAACAAACTCTTCAGAACGTGAACACTTTGCTGAGAGGTGCCATACCAAACGGCAGTGAAACATTAAAAACAATTGAGGCTCATATATTTGGAGTTTATTTGACCCTTACAGTATGTGTAACCTTGGTGGTATATACACTGTTCTGCAGGTCAAAAGCATGGCTACAGTACGCCAGACGTCCTGAGCTCCTAGGAAAGACAGCCAAGGAGCTCTATGAGGGGTATCGCCTGTGTAGTGAGCATTTCACAGCCAAGGACTTTTTGGATCCTGGGAAGACAAGGCTGACCAAAACGGCTATCCCTACGGTTCGGCCGCAAATGCTTAGGCCATCTGTAACAGCCCAAGGTAACATAATCTTTATTTGCAGTCTGTACGGAGTTCTGTTATATTTTGCTTTTAGGCAGCACCAACTCTACGTCACTGATGCCAGCTGCCAGCATGCTGTCAACGATGCTTGACAGTCTCAAAAGTTTTAATCTGATTTAATTAGTTTTTATTATTAGTTTGTGCTTAAATATTTTATCTAATTCATTTAGCATTTTTGTACATTATCCCTGTAATGTCCCTGCGCATACTGTTGCCCATAACCAATATCCGTCCCAGTTTGTTGGAAAATTGTTTTAAAGCACAAGGTCAGCTGCATTGAAATACAGTAATTTGTGTCCTGCAATCAAGAAGGGCAGTTCTGCCAGTGCAGTATGACTTCTTACAGGGCATCCTAGGTTTGTAGCATACAATAGTGATATAAATGAAAGATAAGGCAGGTCAACGTTCCCCTGTTCATATCCAATTCGACAAGAGGACTCATGCCGTCTGAGTCATCTTCCTGACATTCATGTTTACAAGGTTAGCTTTAGTTGCCCATGCTGTTATGTTCTCATACATTAGCATACCAAGCCGTTAAAATTTAAGATATTCCGAGATTCCTAAGTGCCTTTTCAAGACCCGCCGGATCCTGTGTTTCGCCATTGATTAATATTGCTCAACATTAATTTTCATCACTAAGGGATTTCAATGCCCTTTCAGAGTGCTGAATATTTTCTGTTCCTTTGAAAGGTAACACTACTAACCTATCATTCGCCTGTAGCAGGAATTCTCCATCAGAAGCTTTATAAGCAGGTATTCATATCTAAGAAGCCAAAATTTTTCAGAAGAACCGGTGGCAACAACATGCCCCTGTGACGTTCCATTGGAGGGAAACAGAATGTCGCATCCCACAGCAGCTTATGGTGAGATTATTTATTTTTAATTGGCGGCTCATATCTGACAAGGAAGCCCTTTTCAGAAAAGCCAATAGCGGAACCAAGCCCCGGGGATGTTCGATTGGAGGGCAGCAGAACGTCGCCTTCAACAGCTGCTCATGGTGAGATCATTTATTTTAAAACAGGGGCTCATACCTGACAAGCAAACATCTTTCAGAAGGACCGATGGTGGCACCAAGCCCCGGGAATGTTCCATTGGAGGGTAGTGGAACGTCACCTTTGGCAGCTGCTCATAGTGAGATAATTTCTTTTAAAACTGCTGCTCATATCTGACAAGCAACCGTTTTTCAGAACAACCGCTGGCGGCACCAAGCCCCGGTAATGTTCCCTTGGAGGGCAGTGGAATGTCACCTTCAACAGCTGCTCGTGGTGAGATCATTTATTTTAAAACAGGGGCTCATACCTGACAAGCAAATGTCGTTCAGAAGGGCCGATGGCGGCACCAAGCCCAGGGAATGTTCCAATGGAAAGCAGCGGAACGTCACCCTTGGCAGCTGTTCATGGTGAGATCATTTCTTTTAAAACAGCTGCTCATAGCTGACAACCAAACATTTGTCAGAAGAACCGGTGGCGACATGTCCCTGTGACGTTCCATTGGAGGGAAGCAGAACGTCGCATCCCACAGCAGCCTCTGGTGAGATTATTTATTTTAAATGAGCGGCTCATATCTGACAAGGAAGCCCTTTTTAGAAAAGCCGATGGCGGAACCAAGCCCCGGGGATGTTCGAATGGAAGGCAGTGGAACGTCACCTTCGGCAGCTGCTCATGGTGAGATCATTTTTTTTAAAACAGCTGCTCATATCTGACAAGCAACCGTTTTTCAGAACAACCGATGGCGACAAGCCCCTGTGGTATTTCACTGGAGGGTACCAGCGCGTCACATTCCATAGCGGCCTGTGCTAAAATAAATCTCCTACACAAATTGGGTTTATGCAAACATTCGTATTTAACAGTGACACATTTTCCAGAGCAAATGGGGATGGCCAGCTCTCCTGGCCAGCTTTTGGACCACAGCACTCCATCTTCGTCTGTTGGCTATTCTGAATCATCTGGAACCTGTGAGTATAAATTGACTTCTCTACAGATTTAAGCACTGCAAAATTGTGTTAAGTACCTCTGCATTTAGTATGCACATTGCTTCAAATTAGGTGACATTATTTGTCACTTCATTTTTGTGCTGGCCTTAATAACTTGGAACATCACTACAGGTCTCTAGGTGACGGGGAACATAAGCTTTGAAGTGTGGCACCGTGAAATGCTCTGAAAAGGGGTGGTTTCCTAGTAATCTGTGCTTACTGTAGTAATTTGCCAATCCTGTTACATACAGTTCTCATTTTGGATGACCCTGTTGAATGTAGTGATTGACTACGCGATTGTTCAATATTTGAAAGATTCATCAATTTATGTTAATACAGTTTTTGTGGTGAAATTATTGCAGCTGAAAGACTAAAAGCTAGTTTAATTTTTTTTTTCTGATAGCAGCCATTTGTGTATAAACAGTGGTAACAGAACATGCGGAGCAAATACCCACTCACAATTTGGAGATAATCATGAAAAACGCAGAGATGTATGCTTCTTATGCCCGAAAGCAAAATTGCAGAACAGCCAAAGGTTGGGGGGAAGGGCGGTCACCACTTTGGAGGCCCGTGCACGTGTCGAGCTTCACCTTTTACATTGGTGTGCTTGGAGAAGCAGCTGAAGCGGATGAGCATTTATGTTAGGTGGGTGGGTTTTTAAGTCTGGAGTTGGACATTGATACGTGCTTTGTTTATTTCGCAAACGTTTCGAAAGTGGCGGGGGGGGGGGGGGGGGGGGGAAGGGGGCACATATTGCAGCATGGGTAAGTGGTCGGTATTTGGCGGTATCGTTTCTGTCGGGTTCTACTTTTATCATTTTTGTGTAGCCTGACTTATGTGCTTTCGGTATTGTTTTGGCAGGCTCTGGTCGTTCAACACCTGCTTCCGCCAAGCTCTCAAGGAGGCCCAGGGACGTCATAAAACGCCTACAAGCAAAGGTTTCCAGTTACAGAAAGACAATATCAAGACTGCGCAAGCAACAGAAGCAGATGCCTCAAACAGCTGCCGAAGCACTTGAAATGGTGCGTCCGTTTGTGACAGACGAGGTTTTCGGACTTATCTCGTCACATGTAAAATTAGGGCGCAAGGGACGAGGAAAACGGTTTCCACTGTGGCTCAAGAAGTTTGCTTTGCATCTGAACTTTCATGGCCCACAGGCATACCGTTTTCTATCGTTACATTTAACGCTTCCTACTCAGCGTTCACTGCGTAGGTGGCTGTCGAACGTAAAAATGACTCCTGGTATTATACCTGGTGTCATGTCCTCCATCGAATCTCAAACGCGGTCTTGGAATGCACGTGATCGTGTCTGCACCTTGATTTTTGATGAGATTGTTTTGAAGAAGAACTTGACATACGACCCTGCACACGACATTATCCATGGATTTACAGATGACGGTGTTGAACGAACCTCGACCATTGCAGATAGAGCCCTGGTTGTTGTGCTCTCTGGAATTTCCAGGAGGTGGGTTCAGCCCCTCGCATACACTGTTGGGCACACTTCAACACCGTCTTCTGTTATCCGGAGCCTCCTGATTTCTCTCATTCGAGAGCTTAAGACTGTTGACTTCACTGTGAAGGCCGTGGTCTGTGATCAGGGGGCTTCAAACGTAAGCTTAGCCAACCAACTTGGTGTATCTGCTGATAAGCCATTTTTTGAAGTCGACAACGAACGTGTTTACTTTATCTTTGATGTTCCGCACCTCATCAAAACAACAAGAAACAATCTCCAAGCCCACAAACTTTGCATTGGGGATGAGGTCATTGAATGGTCCCATATTGTTGAACTTTATCGTTCTACTCATGAGATGAGGTTGCGATTGGCTCCAAAACTTACTGAGAGGCACATTTTTCAAAAACCTTTCAGTAACATGAAAGTAAAGCGTGCCACACAGGTCCTGAGTGCCTCAGTCTGTCTTGCCATTCTATCCCTTGTTTATGCCAAGGAGCTTCCTGAGGCAGCCATGGCTACAGCCTATTTTTGTGATAGAATGGACAGACTTTTTGATTGTTTAAATAGCTCGCAATTCAAGAAGACTGGGCAGAAGTTGCGTCATGCAATTTTGAAAGGAGAATCTGAGATACTCGATTTCCTTCACCAACAACTCGCATGGATTTCAACATGGAAGTTCCAAAGTAGGAGGCAGCCACAAACCACCATAGGGTGGCAAGTTACAATAAGGAGTGTCCTCATGCTCTGGGATGAGCTTTCAAACAGCTATGACTTTAAATTCTTACTTACTCGACGCCTGCAGCAAGACCCACTGGAGAACATTTTTGGGGCAATAAGACAAATGCTGGGCTGCAATACAAACCCAAATGTGAATCAGTTCACCTCGGGACTGAAACACATCGGGATAAAAAAACTGTTCAGACTCTCTAACAATGGAAATGTAGAGGATGAAAAGGGTGACCTCCTCAAGGAGTTGCCAATATTTTCGCACCATGAAAGTTCCATTGCAGACAATGTGGAATGTTTTCCAGTTGATAACTTCCCGCCACTAGAAGATATTTCTGAGCTGGCATCAGACATCAGGTCTAATATAATTGACGACTCGTGCACTTACTACGTTGGAGGCTATTTGATCAAACTTTTCCTTGAACAGACAACCCGCAGCTGTGGCTGTTCTAAGCTGCTAAAGGATGAGTCTGACAACTTGACCAGGCCTCACCAGTATTTTCTTATGCTTAAAGCATACCACGTGCCTGGGAAACTCTTCGGAAACCTAGTAGTACCATCACAGGCTGCCTTTAACTTTATTCAGAAACTAGAAAATCACTTTCTTGCCGTAATAGAGAGTGTAGCGCATGTTCGAGGAGTGTGTGCTGCCTTGTATCACACACTCTCAGAGCTGGGTGGTTTCAGCCTTTGCTCAGAGGAGTGTCACAAAAGGTTTTTAAAAATGTTTTGCCGAATACGCTTGTGTTGGCATGTTCGGTTCCTTAACCGGAACTTGGTCAAAGTTCGGTTACACTCTTCGGTTGCTAGTAAGCAACTTGATAAGTTTAACTGTTAATAGCTTAATAGCGTATTAACAGAGGCGGTTGCCAAATCAAAAACAGAAATTGCTTATTAATTGGGCAGTGTAGCTTGCACTCCAAACATGTGTTTTCTTTATTTCCAGGAAATGTGTATCACGGCCCCCTTACACAAATATTTATCCACTTTCTGCAGAATTTCTATAGAAAATAGTTTATAGAGGCATAGATGTTTGGAAGAAAATGTGTCCACTTCTGTACCCGTCTATATTTTTTGGACGTTTTTTTTCTGAAGTAATACTCCTGTCCTGAACAAATGTATTTCGGGGAATGTTTAGGGACGTTGAATCATGGTTGAATATCTATGGTTGAATCTTGTCAGATTCCGAATAGAGTTCTCATTGTTTTTTTGTTTTTTTTGTAATGGCTCACCCGCAGCGAGTTTCAGGCTATGCCATTTCGTGTGTTTTATATTAGCCGGTAATTTGGAATTTGTACTATCCGGTGTGTGCTTCGCCTGGTAATGATAGCGATGTCTTGTTTATTTCTGCACTTACTTACCGTGCCCGAGTCGGCGTGAAGGTGAATGGATCATTCAGCATGTTCCCTGTGGAAAGCTTTTGTAAACTTGACTCCGCTAAAAATCTATTACGAAGTGTACGATATGCCGAACTCCTTCATACTCATTTATTTTTGTGATTATCTATTTCTTATAAAACATTCAGAGCTTCTGAAGTAAATAATGTACATATGAATGTGGTCCAATAAAATGTTTTCAAACCACTTACTGTTGTTGACCCCAAAACCTCCCAAAATGCTCCACCAGCCAGGAGTCAATGTGGCGATTATGTACTTCAATGTGTTCAATAAGTTGAACTTTTATTCGACACATTACATATTTTGCAAAACTTATATCGTATATTGCAAAACTTATAATATAAAAACAACAAAAAAAAGAATCATCGGCTCCGGAGCCAAGGAGCTCCCGAGAGCCTAGCGAGGAGGGAGGCGAGAAGGAAAGAAAGAGAGAAAAAGAGAAGGAGAAGGGTACCAAAAAACCGAAACGAAAATGCCCAAACCGAAACCGAAACTAACTTGACCGGAACCGGAACCAGATTGTGTTTCATACCGTCCGCTAAGAGCGCTAGTTGTCACTGCTCTATCTGGGCCGCTGGGGCCTATGGCAGTGTCCGCTCTTTACCTTGTGTATATTACTCTATGGTAAGGCTGCTAAGTCCGGATTGGATTGGATTGTTGTTTGAGCTATGAAAACATAGATCACTAAAACGAAGGAAGTGAAATGTAATGGGCGGATGCGTGTGTCACCTGTAGTGCAACATTAACATTTTTTTATGTTTCATATATACCGCATTAGATTCATAAATTTTCTAAATTTAAATTCCGTACGTACTATTAGAGTTCCTTTGTTTTGTTTATTAATCTTATTGACTTCTTATTTAATCCAATATATATTTGATATTTAGGCCACTTCCGGCCGCCATGACAGGAAACCACGAACACTTCTGGTTCGGGTATTGCTTAGGTGATGTTTCGTGTGTTCCTTCGCCAATTAAATCGGTCTTCTGTTATGATTTTCGCGTCCACTGGCCTCTTGAAGTGCTGTACTGTTTTGCAATTGACTGGGAAACTTTGCTGTGGCAGATATCCTCGAAATAGAAGGTGCAACGAGCCACGACTCCAGGACCGCCGAGCGCGGACAGTCTTCTTTACGCGCGCGTCGATTTTACGCTCGTACTAGGATCGCTTAATTTTGCAATCAAAGATGCACACATCCGACTGTTCTGGACAGCGAAGAAACTTGAACGAATCACACTCGAGTTCTAACACAAATAATGAACTGGATGAAATATTAATTAATATTCGCCTAAATATAATTGGGCGGTTTCATTTGGATTCCGGCAACGAGGTGCAGTCGTATTTCTTATTTTGCCTCAAATTTTTATATCTTGTGGTGCATCTTCCAAAAAGAACAATACTTTTTTTTTATTTTAATGTCCTGACATGTTTCTGAGAAAAACACAAACCTCAAAGATGCGGGAAAGAACGACGAGGTTTTGACGATTGTCGTGTGTGGCGTTTTTGAGTCGCTCTCAAGTATTCAAAACAGAGCGCGTCTATATTTTTTTTATTGCGATACACATGCAAGTAGGTAAAACGAAATTATAACTACTGTTTATAATTCGTCGCTCTAATCTTTGCAAAAGAAAAAAGAAAACACCAAACATGCTTTCGCGAGCAACTGTGAACTAAATTACGTTTTTTTTTTTTTTTTTTTTTTTTGAGTTGACTATGTTTAGAATTGCTTTTAAAATAATACCACGTGTAGAACCTTTCATTGCCTTCCAAACGAAGCAAAGCTTGTGCTTTTATCATG